TATTCATAATGATAAACATTCCCTTTTTACATAATTTTAATTAATTTAAATGTGTAAAAAGTCAATATTTAAAGTTTTTTTAATAGAATAAAGAAATTTTGTAATTTTTTTCACTCGTAGAATTGCCCAGTACAAGGCCTGTGTTGAAATAACTATCAAAAATTAAAATTCATGCAAAAATTGTAAAGAATTTTAAATTTTTAATCAACTTTATAATGTTTGCAATGCTTTATTTTTATCAAAATATTTACAATGTGTTCATTTATGAAAAAAAATTGAAGTTATGTATACACAAAAAATTTCAGAAATATTTTTTTTTTATAATTTTCATTTTCATTTACAATTTTTTTTTACTCTCACTTAGATAAGTACAATTTTTGAAGAAGTAAATTAGTGTTATTTTATTAAGTTATTGCTTCACAGGAATAACATTGTTTTTACCTCAATAAGTAAACTTATTTATTTATTTATATGTGTCTAATAATCATTTTTTTGATAAACTTAAAGTCTTAAAATAACTTAATTTAATTAAATGTCTTCTTGTTCGTTGAAATGAAAAATAAACTAAATAAATAAAATTAGCGAGTTTCCGTAGTGCTTCGTTTTCATCAAATTAGGATTTACTTCTTACTCTTCTTTCTTAATTAATTAAATTTATAGCTATGACTGTAATAAAAGATGAACTTTTTTTAAATTTCACAATTGTCTTACAAGTTTTGTTTTGTTTTTTTTTTTTGTTCTAGGTTAGTACGAACACGATGGTTAAAATTCCTTTCTTTTAGGCAAATCAAATTAATATCGTTTCATAGATCATTTTAAATAGGTAAAGTCTCAAGTTCAATATAGATTCCAAGGTTTTAGAGAAATCCTTAATCCACGTTCCCTTTGATAAATTAAATTACAAAGATGAAGCCAAATTGTTAGAGTGTGAAAGTTTGAAATTGTTTATATTCTCAAAATGCTGAAGTTGCACAACTGTTCTTACCCAACTTTGTAACAATGATGATTTTGTAAATTAGAAAACTAGTATTGTTGACCTATTTTTATATATTATTGAAGTTCCTTTTTTACAAAATAGAAATGGAATAGGAACTGCAATTGATTTTTATTTCATTTTTAAAATGCATCAATAAACATTTGAAAAAATTAAAATGGTGCTCAAAAATCAAAATGTACAGTTGTTTAAAATATTTAATATTTGAACCTTTTGCCAGAATAACTTTTGAGAGGTTACGAACCGAAGTTTTAGCTAACGAGTTGTTGATTAAATTCAATGCAATTACAATACAAGAGCATCAGCAATACATCGACAAATTCATAGTTTGCAGCAATTGATTTTGAGATCTAACCTATTTTTCATTTATTTATTATTTCTGAAGTTTAATTGGAAAGTGCTTTTGTGCATGATATCTAGTCAAACAATGATAGAACTAGGATTTGATTACTTTTTAGATAAAACCAGAGTTGCGACGACAGGTACCTGTCACAGGTAAAGGTGACAGTTTCTGTCAAAAGATCACCTGTCACAGGCCGTTACCTGTTCACAGGTCAAATTTTTTTGCCTATCACAGGTCTGACCTGTCAAAGGTTCTACCTGTCACAGGTCGTTACCTGTTCACAGGTCAATTTTTTTCGCCTGTCACAGGTCTGACCTGTCAAAGGTTCTGCCTGTCACAGGCCGTTACCTGTTCACAGGTCAATTTTTTTTTGACTGTCACAGGTCTGACCTGTCAAAGGTTCTGCCTGTCACAGGTCGTTACCTGTTCACAGGTCAATTTTTTTCGCCTGTCACAGGTCTGACCTGTCAAAGGTTCTACCTGTCACAGGTCGTTACCTGTTCACAGGTCAATTTTTTCCACCTGTCACAGCTCTGACCTGTCGCAGGCCTCACCTGTGACAGGTCGTCACCTGTTGACAGGTAGAAAAAATCTACCTGTCACAGGTCTGACCTGTCACCTGTCACCTGTCACCTTTGACTATCGAAATTTTTTTCTTCTAGTGAAGTATAAAGATTTCATACAAAATTCATCAATTTTTTTGCTTCCTCAAGTCACGAGTTCAAATCTCACCGCAAGCAACTTTCTTTTTTTGCATTTTTATGATTTGTTTTTAAATTTTTTTGATAAAATATAAAGTTTTATGACAAAGTTTTCCATTTTCATATTTTATTTCTTCACTTTCTATATTTCAACATGTATTTTAAATTTTTTCCATATATTTTCATACAAATTCAACTTTTTTTGTCATATTTTAGTTTACCAAGTTGAAATCTGACACAAAGGCACTTTTCCTAGATCTGGATGTTCTTAAATCGTAATCTTGGATTATAATTTATTATATATTTCGACTTTTTGCGGTCTCGAATGACAAAGTCTATACTAGTTTTAATATTTTATGCCATTTTATTATCCAAGATTACGATTTAAGAACATCCAGATCTAGGAAAAGTGCCTTTGTGTCAGATTTCAGCTTGGTAAACTAAAATATGACAAAAAAAGTTGAATTTGTATGAAAATATATGGAAAAAATTTAAAATACATGTTAAAATATAGAAAGTGAAGAAATAAAATATGAAAATGGAAAACTTTGTCATAAAACTTTATATTTTATCAAAAAAATTTAAAAACAAATCATAAAAATGCAAAAAAAGAAAGTTGCTTGCGGTGAGATTTGAACTCGTGACTTGAGGAAGCAAAAAAATTCATGAATTTTGTATGAAATCTTTATACTTCACTAGAAGAAAAAAATTTCGATAGTCAAAGGTGACAGGTGACAGGTGACAGGTCAGACCTGTGACAGGTAGATTTTTTCTACCTGTCAACAGGTGACGACCTGTCACAGGTGAGGCCTGCGACAGGTCAGAGCTGTGACAGGTGGAAAAAATTGACCTGTGAACAGGTAACGACCTGTGACAGGTAGAACCTTTGACAGGTCAGACCTGTGACAGGCGAAAAAAATTGACCTGTGAACAGGTAACGACCTGTGACAGGCAGAACCTTTGACAGGTCAGACCTGTGACAGTCAAAAAAAAATTGACCTGTGAACAGGTAACGGCCTGTGACAGGCAGAACCTTTGACAGGTCAGACCTGTGACAGGCGAAAAAAATTGACCTGTGAACAGGTAACGGCCTGTGACAGGTAGAACCTTTGACAGGTCAGACCTGTGATAGGCGAAAAAATTTGACCTGTGAACAGGTAACGGCCTGTGACAGGTGGGCTGTTTTTGTTGACCTGTGACAGATCGCAACTCTGGATAAAACTGCTTCAAATCCTATTTTGTTATAGATGCATGTAACTGCATTTTAAACACCAGTTGTAATTTCAAAATTAAATTTAAATTTAAATTAACCGTTGGAATATAGATCTTGATACTTGAGACTTCCTGTTTAGCGAAACAATCCCTCAATATCAGGGACTAAAATGTATGAAAAAAATCTTTGATGAAAAAAATCACTCATTTCAATGAGTAAAAAAATCATGATTTTTTCCATCCTGCGTACATTATAAATTAGAACAAAATCAGGTAAGAAAATTTTTTACGTAGAACTTCATCACGTTATGATAATAATTACGAAAAAAAATTTTTACGAAATTTTCATCAACACAAATTTCATTCAGAAATAAATATTTCAAATTTTTCATAAAATTTTCAACTAAATGTGAAGTGCGTATTGCTGCTAATAGTTTATTCAGGTATTGCAACGATCAGGTATGGATATAATAACTAATAAAGGAAGTAATGACATAAATTGGACTCAAATTTCAAATTTCAATAATTTTAGGAGAATTTTAAGGTTTAAATGACAGATTAAAATATCATTAATCATGGAAGAAGCTAAATTAAAGCGCAAGTGATGAAATTCTACGTAAAAAATTTTTTTTAGTGATTTTTTTCTACGTAATAATGTTCGCAGGATGGAAAAAATCATGATTTTTTTACTCATTGAAATGAGTGATTTTTTTTCATCAAAGATTTTTTTCATACATTTTAGTCCCTGCTCAATATTCATTAACAAAAAATATTAATTCCTTAACAGTTACAGACAGAAGTTATTTGATATTTGCACGCTTTTTTAAGAACGATTAAAAGTATAAATTTTTGATTTGATCAATTTTCATTTTTGTGCATGTGATTTTGTTAACATTTTTTGAATTTAAAAATCTTTTTTAAGGGTAAGTTTGCAGCTGTGAGAAAATGACATGTAAATAATACCTTCATCTTCATTTCCTTTAAAATAAGACTCTCGAAAAGGGCAAAAATTCTTATTTTTAGAATGGAATAAAAAAATAATAAATAAATAAAATAGAAATTTGAGATTACGGAAAATAATAAAATATGATTTAAAGCTTTGGGGTTCATTCGGTAATGACGTCCGTAATTTAGAAGAGAGGGTTTTTAATTTTTTATGAAGTTATTAGCTCCCCTACTCCTTCTTCGTTATACCAAAGTTATACACAACCCCAATGAGTGCGAACAAAGAAAATGTCAGTTAATTTTGGTTAATTTCGAAAAAATTCAAAAAAAAATCGATAAAATTCGAAAATATGAAATTTTGAAAAATAAAAATACGTTAACGACTTAATTAAGAAACAAATTTATTTCAATTGTTTTTTGATGCAAATTTGTTTCTGTTATGTAGTAATCAACACGGATACTGAAATTTTGCTCTAAATTTAACAAAAGCTTTTAATAGTTTATCAATCGTTTCTTCACAATGTTCAAAAACTACTTCAACTTGGGCAATTACTGTATCAATAAATTGTTGATTAAATGAAGGATCAGAACATGAAATAAGACAATTTAATAGCCTATAAATGAATTCTAGACACATTAAAACGCATTGAACTTCTACTGAAAGTTCCCATGAAGATTCTTTTTTCAAGAAGTAATTTAAATGCAAAATGTAAACAAATAATTGTAACGGAAATTTCAAATTCAAATTTTTTTCCCGCGCTCGAAAATTAGATCCTTCGAAATCGAAAATTAGTTCTCATCCGCACTCATTGGACACAACCCAACCTCTAAATGTTGAACATCATTTATAAACGAGACCTTGTTAAGAATGGTTAAAAACTGAAAATTGCACAAGTAATAAGCTGCACATGGTAAAGTAAAAAATTCAGATTCTTAATCATGGGGTCGTTCATCAATGATGACCCGAAGGGATTGAATTCGAGAAACTATTGATTTACACCCCTCTTATCATGTCATTAATGAACGACCTCTAAATAGCTAAAGTACTCCAAAAAGAGCATTAAAATAAGTTATAAAATAGTACCGTTGAAACAAGAGAATAGACTAAGATTGTAAGCAACTGATGTAATAGACAAGGCGCTGACACTGATGGATTAATACCGAGCAGATCCAGATATGTAAAAATGTTTATGAATAATTCCGCTTATTAAATATAAATTATTCATGAGAATATCTGTCAAATGTTCAGGTATAATCCACAAGTGCCTCACCAAAATTGTATAATAATAATAAAAATAAAATATATATATAACTAAATTAATATATTAATTTGACATTAGAGTATGTATCAAGTCATACGTAGACAATATGTGGTTTCGTAATATTCTGTGAACTTTTACTGTTGTTACCAGACGTTCCAGTAAAAGTACTTGCAATTGGCATAGCCGAGGGAGTAATTTTCATCGTATGACTTGTACCTCTAAGGAAATTATCGTCAAAATTTTCATAATGATCTTCCGGATCATTGTCATTATCATCGAAATTATTGCTTATATTAGATAGATTGTTATCGTCCTCAGTACTGTAAGGATTCGTATTATTAATAAAACTATTAAAAACATCTGGATGATTTCTTTTTGATGTTTTACTGCTATTATTATGATTAGGCTTAATAGCTAAGGAAGCTGTGGATGCTGGATGAATGTTTGTTGATGGCGACGGCAGCGTCTGATCCCATTTCTTTAATGAACGATATTCCATCGAGTTGGGTTGGAATATATATTGATTTTTATTATTTTGACTAGAATTAATTGTGTGATGTAGCTGCTGTTGCTGCTGTGGATTATGGCCAATTTGATAATGTTGCGCATTTTGTTGCTGCTCTGCTAAATAGCGCTCAAGTTCATACTTATCAATTTTTTGAGGTATTATTAGCTCACCGATGTTTTGTCGCTCATCTGTCAGGAATTTCTGTTGTCTTCGTTTCAATTGTGATGAGCGAGAGCATTTAATAATAATAAGTATACTTATGCAAATTATAGCTATAAAAATTACAGTCAAAATGACACTTATAATGGTAAGAATATTTGTTGGGCATGCGATATCAGCTTCAGACATATCTAAAAGCATCTTACGTATTATTTTTACATTATTATCGTCATTTTTAATTATTATATCACAACCAATACTGTTTTTATCAATGATGAGTAAATTGCTTTTATTGTTACCCATTTCCATCTCGTCCTCTTCATCTTCATCGTTTTTTGCTGATGTCACTGTCGATGACTTGATTAAACGCCACAACCAAATCAATGAACAATTACAAACAAATGGATTGTCTGTTAACGATAGTTTTTGTAATTGGTCTAGTGGCAATTGAACAGCATCCAATTGATAAAACTTGTTATTTCTCAAAGATAATTCCATTAAGTTTGAATTTCCATGAAATAAGTGCACAGGTAAGTCGGAAAATTGCTCATTGTCGTTCATAGAAAGTACTTGTAAATTCACATTGTCGATAAAAGCTCTAAAAAATCAGAACGAAAACGAGGAAAATGAAATGAAAAGAAATGAGAATGAAGTGAGTATTTATTTTCTATTAAGCTGTATATTGCTTTGTATATTTTCAATTTGAAGCGTTTCAGAGTTGTGAATTGGACTGTCACGATTCTGTTCGATTTTAACTCATACTAAATAAAATTAAATCGTGGTAGATTTAAACTTAAATCCGGTGTATAAAAAATTAAGTCTAACGTTCAAATCTCATGATTCATGTTAAATCAGAATAGTTAACTAGCTCTTTAATAGCAAATTACCATGTGAAATATTTGATCAAATCTGCACCCTATACTATTTAGCATCAATTTACAGCTGTAATTAAATTACAGCTGTAAATTACAGATGACGTAAGTCAAGCTTTACGTATTTTGTAAAATTAAAGTACAGCTGTAATTTACAGACACACCATACAGCTGTAAATACAGACACCATAATATTATTAAAAACAATTTTTTTCAACAAACGTATCTGTAAATACAGACCAAATATATAGCTATATTTACAGATAAACATTTATAGATTTGTTAATTTCATGAAGCTAATAAAGACAAATTTTACTAATTATGTGTTTAGTTTACTTTTTCTTTAATCACAAAAAAATATTTGACTACAAAATCTTGTTTCATTGTTAGGCTTAAAAAAAATGTGATATGTAAAAGTAAGGTAATTAATATGTTTTCTTCTTAATATTCTTACGGAGCTTGCTCTTGTAAGGTTGCAAATTTTCTTTAACAACAACTGACGTTACACTATTTTTATCTAATTTTAATTTTTTGGACTTAAGCTGCTTGGAAGGTTTTTCAGAACCTGAAGAATAAACTTGTTCTGGTTGTTGTTGAATGTTCTGAACTATTTCAGAGCTGTTATTGGCAATAGAGTCCTGAAATTGCTGGATGTTCTGATGATTTTCAGAATCTTCAATGATTGACGGATTTTGTTGTTGATAATTGCTCTGATTTGAATCTGAAAGTTCATCAATGACTGGTTCTGGTTGTTGTTGAATGTTCTGAACTATTTCAGAGCTGTTATTGGCAATAGAGTCATGAAATTAACAAATCTTAAAATTTTTATCTGTAAATAAAGCTGTATATTTGGTCTGTATTTACAGATACGTTTGTTGAAAAAAATTGTTTTTAATAATATTATGGTGTCTGTATTTACAGCTGTATGGTGTGTCTGTAAATTACAGCTGTACTTTAATTTTACAAAATACGTAAAGCTTGACTTACGTCATCTGTAATTTACAGCTGTTATTTAATTACAGCTGTAAATTGATGCTAAATAGTATAGGGTCAAATCTGCTTAAGTTCGAATCCTACGAAAAATCATTAAAAAAAATTTATTTTGCGTCATAAAAAATTTTGGGTTATTTTGGTATGTGGCTTTCAATTAATTATTTATCTCCCTCAGGTTTGCGTGCGAGTCATAAGCGTTCATCAGTGTTTGACTTAAATAAATTAAGTCTTTTATTTTTTTCATAGGGTTAGTGTACTTTAATTAACTTTGAATGAGTACACACTAATACTTTTACAATAATTTGCACAAATAAGAAAAATCAAAAGAACACGTGGAAATTAGCGGTTATATTCATTTAAATTTTTTACAAATTTGCTAGTAAATTACTAGTTAAATAATAAGCGAATTGACTAGTCAATTAGCAAGTGAAAATGCGGGTCTTTGGCGAAGATTTGAACTTAAATTTTGACAAGTAAATAGCAAGTAGCAAATGGAAAGTTATCCAGTAAATTACTAGTAAATTTCTGCTAAGGATTACTACCCCAACTCTGCCGATCAAGATATCAATCACGTCCAAATGCAAAATATATGTAAATAATAAATCAATTAATAATGTGGTTACCTTGAGTCAATTCTGATCAAGTTTATAAGCCGATCCAGTTGTAAAACACGCAATTGAAATAAGTTGAGAAAAGAGACAGGTTGTAGAGTCTCAATAAAGTTGCTGCTCAACGAGAGATGTGTTAAATTTGATAATTTGGAAAGTTGGTCTGTTGGCACGCTCTGTTGAAAAAATAGATCATTAGAAATGATGGCATATGCTGTATAGATGTTTTTAGCGCAGTTCCCACGGAATCGATGGATGCTGCTGTTGATGCTCTTTCTGTCTTGATGTCTCAATTCAAATTTTTGAAAATAAGGTTATTTTTTGAACTTATAGTTCAAATTAATTTCAGCCTTTAAATTTTAAATAATTGTGACTGCTTTTTTTAAACTTTACAATTCCATTCCATAAAAAAACTGCGCATTTGTCACGAAAAAGTGACAAAGTAAATACAAAATTTTCAACTTACTGTTAGATTGTTATCGGATAGATTTAAATGTTGCAGCTGTACTAATCCATCAAAAGCCAATAAATCGATGCTGTCTATGATATTTCCGTTCAAATAAAGGACTTGCATGTGATTCATGTATTGAAAACTATTATTATTAATCTGCTTGATGAGATTCCCAGATAAATCTAACGTTTGTAGTCGCCGAAGATATTCAAAATTTTCAGCATGTGAAATGCTCAGCAATTGATTATTTGTTAGTAAAAGGGTGTGAAGATTGCCGAGATTTTGAAAAACACCATTTTCGATACTTATTAGACTATTATTCGTTAAATCGAGAAATGTCAATCGCGTTAAATCGCTAAACGAAAGCGGATCTATGTCACTAATTTGATTATAGCCCAAGTCCAAAACTTCTAGCTTATTCATTCCTCTGAATGTCTCCTTATAAAGTTTCTTGATCACATTTCGTTGCAGAAAAAGTTTCCGCAAATTCTCTTGTGTAATAAAGTTTTTTGTTCCCAATGTCTCCAGTGCGTTATTGGATATATCTAAAGTCTCCAACATATAATAAAAGGATAGCGTTGAATAGACTGTAGCAATTTTATTATCTGTTAGATTTATGTGCTTAACATTTGGATTCAATTGTATTGGCACAACATCAAGGCCTGCTCCTATGCATCTTGCTTTCGAATTGTTCAGATCTCCATCGCATATGCATTTTGACGGGCAGAATCCATTTGTTTTTGTGATTACGACGAGAATTGATATTAAAATTACTGTCGTCCTCGCCTTTGTCGTCGTTGATTTCATTATTGATAATAAATCCATTTTCTGTGTACTTTGTGTGCTGTGTGCTATGTCTTATCTTATTTGATATTTATTGCATGTTTCAAATGAAATTTGTTTCCTTTATTCTGCCGCGATGATTCAATATGTAGCATGACCTCTCAATTCTTTTTTAATCTAGAATAATGTTTGACGATTAAAATCAATTAAATTAAATTAACAAAAAATTACAGTCGATCAAGAAACTGCCCAAATATGTGCAGAAGAATTCAGTTCTTCACGATTGAGCAATGCCAACTTCAAAAATTACTGACAGTTGTGACGGCTTCAAAATTACTAACATGATTTATATTTGAGGCATGTTTTGACAACCGCAGGAAATGAATTCACGAAAATATCGTAAGAAAATGAATGAATATTTTATACTTTAGCACTATAAGAAGTTCACCACGTTACTTTCGTCTCGTGGTCTCTCACAAAGAGGCAATTTAGATTTTCTAGGCTTTATATGACTATATTACTGACTAGCTTTATAGTTTTCTTTGATTGTGAGGCTCTAAGAAGTTTAAAATTTAAAATTAAATCCTTCGATTTAAATAAATCCAGTGGATTAAAAATGGATTCAACTGTGCAAGTCAACCAAAATTCCGTCAATTTAAATATCAAGTCACCCACCAAGCAACCAAAATTAGCATTTTAACCAGTCATTCCGAACGGATTAAACGCACTAGTAACGATATAGAAATGTGGATGGAAAAATGAAATATGAAAGAATACACTTATTTGAATTCAAATTTACATAATTATGAACAAATAAGCTATTTACAGAAGAATATAACTTCCTTGGATAGATCATCATAATTCATTGTTTCTTGCTATATATCTAATGCTTTCTAACAAGTTTTATTTTTCATAATAATACAACCTACTCAAAATAAAATTAGTCAGCAGGGTTTATCTCTCATATTCATGTATATTTCTGCGTGATATAGTCATATATTGTTATTTATATTCTATTTTTTCATTTTCAAATATATTAATTTTTTTTCTTTTCTTTATTTTTTTAAATCGATATTTTTCAATTTTAAAGAAAATATAATAAAACATGTATAAATGTATTTCCGATAGATATCTATGAATGCTTAATAATGTACATGCTGCACTCAAAAGTTATTGCTTTTTAAGCATTCTTACTTACAGTAAGGAAACAACAAAAAAATGTATATCCAATCTAGATATTGTAATTGCTTAAATTCTGCTGCTTTCTACTGACTTTTTATGTTCCATTACATTATTAACAAATGTCTTTTAACACTGCATTGTTGCCACATTTACAGCAGCTATTTAATTAAGTTAAAATATCACTATTATAATTGTTTAGCTCATGTATATCCAACATTTATGATTCTTTTTATTTTCACTAATTCTAAGCTAAATGAAGTGTACTTTCACATTTTCTTTCTCCTCATATCGTCTAATTCACCATTTTTGTTTTAACTTAATAATTTTGCACTTTTTCTCTTCTTTTTCATGTTAAGTACTTCATTTTCCACAACTTTCAGACCTTTTATTAGAATTAATAGCACTACATTTTCACAATGAAGCACAGAATACAATCTTTTTCGCACAGTTAATGCAGTTTGATTTATGAACTTTTACGTGCATTACTATTTTTGCACAATTTTCTCATTTTTAATGCTCAGATTTAGCCACATTCACTATTTTCGTATTCTATATCCAGTTAGGCATTTATTTACACACTTTTATGTCATTAATTATGTTAAATTCATATATTTTTTTAATTTTTTCACCGAGAGTCTTTTGTTCATTGAAAATTCCTTTTTTTTTATATTTAGGTATATAAACAAATTTCCAGTCAACTGGAAGTAAGAAAAGCTGAATGAAAGTCAATATCCTTCTAGTTCCGATAAACAGAATCTGATAAATAAATAAATCGGATGTGATAGCTCAATATTTGCTTTCTTATTTGATTTATGCGAGATTTCAATGAGAACTATGTTTTTAATTCAATTTTATTATAAACTTCCAATGTCTTTCCAATGAGCTTAGAGCTATTTCGTACTAGATTATGGTGCTATGCTGTGTATTTCCAGTAATATTGCTCTTTTATTCTTATTGTGACTTGATGTCTGCTGCATTTAAAATTTGTTTCAAATAACGTTTATAAATTATTTAAAATATCAACGGTGACAATATTTTTGAAATTTTGATCTTCACCAATAGCTTTTAAAACTTCAAATTTTACAAAAGCGTTAAATTTTTGAACCTCATAAAGTGTCCTTCAAGTAGAACGGTGACCTAACGAGTTGAGTGATGTGTTATATATGGGTATTTTGTGCTATTTTGTGTATACACTTTAGGGGGGAGGGGGGGTTTGAAAAATTGTAACATAGGGGGGGGGGGGGGGGGGTCAAGAAGTATGTAACGTTCTAATTGTCGTCTGTCTTTTAAAAAAAAGTTCACGAAAAAGTTCACACCAAAAACATTTTTTTAAATTTTAAACCACCTTTTTAATGATTTATGAATGTCCAGATCACTTTTGATAGCTAAGCAATACATAGTTTTTGTTATATAAAGTAACAAATCAATAGAAAACTGGTTTACAAGACTTTAAAATACAATCATAATTTGTGGAAAGTTTCAAAATTCATCAATCATAAGTTTAAAAGTAAATCTCTCTTAATCTGTCATTCATATGATGATTAATATGATCCCATCGTTGTGATATTTACATTCAAAGTTGATTGAATTTTCCAAAATTCGATCAGGCATAATATTTTTCATGACATTTTTGAATTTTCTTCAAAAAAAAAACAAATTTTTGCTTTATATCTTAATCCAATAATTCATGAGAATACTAATAGTATCAATCAAAACATGACCTATTTACTTGTACAGTATTTTGATGTTTAAGAAAAAAATACAAAAGAAATTTAACCGTCTTTTTAGATTTAAAAGAAATAAAATAAAATTATGAACGTTCAGGGGGGGGGGGGGGGGGTTGTGAGTTGTAACATATTGTAACAAGGGGGGACGGGGGGGTGAAAAAAGTCGTTTTCTTTCAAATTTTTTTCAAATTTTGCCGGTAATTTGTGCAAGCCTTAACAAAAAAAAACCAAAAAATGGCGAATCTACGATGCAATTTAGTACTAAGTCGTCAAGTCTTGTCAGATTTACAGTCGAAAGTGTAAAATAGTAGCTAGTTTTGCACTAGGCTGCATCTTAGATTCGCCATATCTTTACAATAGTGTCATATGAAAATATTTTTTTTGGTTTTATTTTGTTAAGGAAGGCTTGCACAAATTACTGGCAAAATTTGAGCATTTTTCGCTTAGTCTTGCTAGAGACATAGTTGAAAAGGTAAAAATGTAAAAATCAGTCCTAGCTCCGTTTTCAGATGCTCATATCTCGGAACTGGAAACTTCACAAAATTTAAAAAAAGGTTATTTTTCTACTTTCACAAAATAGCACAAAATACCCATATATAACACATCACTCAACTCGTTAGGTCACCGTTCTACTTGAAGGACACCCTCATAAAATGGATAGAATTTCAAATTTTACAAAATCGATAAAAATTCAAAGTAATTACAACCGTCACAATTTTAAAAATTTATAATGAAGTATAGCAAAACTGCTTTAGATATAAAATGCGCCTAGACCATATTTATGCTTTAACATTTCTTTATTAAATTTCTTATTAGGGTTCTTTTTCGAGCGTTATTTTTTTACATAGAATTTATGTTGGTTCCCATAATTCCTCAAATGTAACGAGGATGTAACAAATTGGTTTATCTAAATGCGGGTAATAACTTCTCGTCAGTTCAAAACATTTTTTTTTTGTATTTAATTTATTAAACATTTCTATTAAATTGACAAACATCCACTATAATTAATAATTATTAAGCCATTTCATTCGCGTATCATTTCGAAGAATCTCCCCATCTAGCTGTTTATTATCCTTCTCAAATTTATCAGATGCTTCTAATCGCTGTTCTAATGCCTTGACATTCTTAATGACTACACATTCTCCGTTATCTTTAAGGAATGAGTAGTTGATGTCTTCTTTGGAAGGTTCGCCGAATGGGAAGGTGATTGGCTCAATCCTAATGAGATGTTTAACTTTATACAGTCGCTGGTTGTTCTCAGGGATATTTTTAACAACTGCTACGGCTCCAGTCTGGAAGATTAATCAATGAACTTAAATAGATCCAGTGAAACTCAAAAAACTCACCTCATACAGCCCAAAATCTCTTAATATTCTCTTCTCCCAATGTGGATTTCCAGCAATCTTCTTAATTCTCGTGACTTTGAATAATTTAGGTGGATCAGCAACTTTAACATCCTCAATGCTCGTGCCATTTACTCGAGGATAAAAACGAATGTAATTCTCGATTTTTAAGCTATCAGCTTCCTTGTACAGTTTTGATTTGTTATGTTTTGACTGATATCTAGCAGTATATCTCACTGAATTGACCAGGAGACTGCTAAATCTGTGGATTTTTTGAAAATTAAACATTTTAATTTTTTTATATTTACAAATTTTGTTAAGCAGGTCCAGCAATCACTGACTGTGGATTTGACGATTTTCGCATGGATATCCTGAACTTCCATGCTAATCAACTTTAACTTCCATGAATAAATTTCCAATAAACTATAATTAAAGGCGTATATTAGCTCAATATTCCAACAATTTGAGATTTCGAATATTAAGGATGATAAGCGGTGCATGCTCAAGAACGATTAATTCATCACGAACGTATTTTCCCAATAGAACGTGACTAATCAGGAAAATCGCCTCAACCAATCTTTTGAGCACTGCTACATAGTCATGAAATAAGAAAATCCTTCAAAATAATATGTACAATAATACACAGCACAATTTGAATGTACGTTTAATTGCATGAAAAAAATGGGATGTTCGTGAAAGCTTTAATTATTTTATTTTTATTATTATTTTAGTTCCATTAAATTCTTATGATTCTTTCCATCATCGTTTACAGTTCATATATAATATATAAAATTCTAAAAATTCGATTTACAAATAAGCTTGAAAAAATGCCAGTAAATTGTTATTATTGTTAAACATTAATTTAATTAATTTATATTCCGTTAAGTTTTATCAAATTTATGAAAAAAAAATTCATTAGGTGCATTGTAAGGTGTAGGAATGGCTTGATGAGATGAGAAGTCGTTCTTTTTTTTGGAAACAATATCCAGGGTCGAGTTATGATTAAACTAAGGATACAATAGTCTTTAAAAATTATATATGTACACAAGAAATAAAGGAAAAGTAGTGTTGACTATACAATTTTTGGCGGTACTTTATAAAATTACAACTTAAATAGATTCCTTTTTCTTTCTTTCTATTTAAATGACTTTTCTTCTTTAATTACTTTAATGGCATACGACAAGAGTTTTAATATACCTTTCTACCGATTAAAAACTTAATTAGTAATAAGTCTAGAGACAAAATTTTACAATTATGAATTATTTCTTTTTAGAATACTTTATCGTTAATATTTCAATTCTATTATACTTTCTATCCAATTCGAATTGCTGTCAAAGTCCACTTAAAGTAAATTAATAACGACTTTTGAAATTTCAAATTTTAACAGTTTTCAAGAATTTAAATTTTTGAACTTTTTCAAAGAAGAAACTAAAGTTCAATTAATTCAAATATCAAAAAACCGTTAAAATTTTAACAGTTTTCAAGAATTTAAATTTTTGAACTTTTTCAAAGAAGAAGCTAAAGTTCAATAAATTCAAATATCAAAAAACCGGTAAAATTTTAAGTTTTCAAGAATTTAAATTTTTGAACTTTTTCAAAGAAGGAACTAAAGTTCAATTAATTCAAATATCAAAAAACCGTTAAAATTTTAACAGTTTTCAAGAATTTAAATTTTTGAACTTTTTCAAAGAAGAAACTAAAGTTCAATTAATTCAAATATCAAAAAACCGTTAAAATTTTAACAGTTTTTAAGAATTTAAATTTTGAACTTTTTCAAAGAAGAAACTTAAGTTCAATAAATTCAAATATCAAAAAACCGGTAAAATTTTAAGTTTTCAAGAATTTATATTTTTGATTTTTTTCAAAGAAGAAATTAAAGTTCAATTAATTCAAATATCAAAAACCGTTAAAATTTTAAGTTTTCAAGAATTTAAATTTTTGAACTTTTTCAAAGAAGAAACTAAAGTTCAAATAATTCAAATATCAAAAAACGGTTAAAATTTTAAGTTTTCAAGAATTTATATTTTTGATTTTTTTCAAAGAAGAAACTAAGGTTCAATTAATTCAAATATCAAAAATCCGGTATAATTTTAAGTTTTCAAGAATTTAAATTTTTGAACTTTTTCAATGAAGAAACTAAAGTTCAATTAATTCAAATATCAAAAAACCGTTAAAATTTTAAGTTTTCAAGAATTTAAATTTTTGAAATTTTTCAAAGAAGAAACTAAAGTTCAATTAATTCAAATATCAAAAAACCGTTAAAATTTTAACGGTTTTCAAGAATTTAAATTTTTGAACTTTTTCAATGAAGAAACTAAAGTTCAATAAATTCAAATATCAAAAAACCGGTAAAATTTTAAGTTTTCAAGAATTTAAATTTTTGAACTTTTTCAACGAAGAAACTAAAGTTCAATAAATTCAAATATCAAAAAACCGTTAAAATTTAAATATTTCAAATACGTTAAAAATCAACAAAAAACAGCAGTTTGAACAGCATTTATAAACACTACCATAAGATACTTTTGACGCTTAATAATGATGTTGATGATGATAATGATGAATATGATGATGTGGATGATTGGTGCGCACAATTTTTCCGGCTGCAGATTGTCCTGGCATGTTATTATGTTTTGGTAAAGCCCCAACAATCCGTACACCTTTCTGTTGATTCTGCTGCATATAATTCACTGATGCATATTGACGATATTGTTGAGACTGTTGTGTTGGAATGTGCAGTGAGCGTGTGTTTGAAACAATATCACTGAATTCTGGTGGAGGCGGTGCAACTTTAAATTGAAAAACAGTAGTTTAAGTTAATTAATAAGTCACGTAAAGTAGTTTTTAAAATGACCATGTTTGGAAAAGATGGAAATGAGTCGTCGAGACTGACGATCATTTATATATTTGTGGAAAATTAGTCATAAATTAATTAATCTAGTTCAAAAATCAAGTTCAAAAATTTTCAAAATTAAAATTAACGGTAATTATTTTAACTTACCAATATAAGTCGCCTCCTTTCCATTGTCAACTTCTTCATCTGAATCAGCTTCCAATGGTGGCGGTAATTGAGATAGTGAGACAATTTGTCCCTGATTTTGAGCTAGTACTTTTGCCCGATTTGCAGCAATTATCGATGCCTGCTTTCGAGTCAACGAATTATTTCTCTGAAAAGCTGTTAACGGTGGACTATCCTCATCACTAGGAGCATCTTCTGTCGATATTATGGCTTCCTTTCTTGGTAAAACAACTTTATTTTGAACTAATTCACTCTTATGCTGATTATTATTAATATTATTAATTATTTTATTACTATTATGAGTAGTCGATAAGTTATTAGAATAATTCATTTTGATTTCTTGATCACTGCTCACACCAGACGATGAATTATCACCTTCCTGTGGCATATGATTATTATGGCTAGAATTATTTTGGAATGCATTCGGAAAAGTCTTGGATGATTTTAATCCAGAACGAATTCTTTGAATTTCATCGACCGAATATGAATGAGATACAATTGATGAACTTCCTGTGCTTGAATTTCCACTATTCTCTTTCTCGACTATTGCACTGTCGTCCTTTTTCGTTATAATTATGACTTTATGTTGATTTTGATTTTGATTATCGTTTCGTTTCAATGTATTGACACTTTCGTTTGTAAATGGCACATTTGATGCCAATTTTACAGAATTATTTGCTTCCTCTTCCTCATCCGATTCCGAATAATCTGGTTCAGGAATAATAGGAGGGATTGGAGGAACTGGAGGGGGTAAATTTAATGGCGGTTCAATTCCAATTTTTCCAGGCTGAGCGTATGGATTTAAATTGCCAGAACTTGCAGTAACGATGACCTTTGTAACATTATAATCACTGCTACTTTTGTAGTGCTCATTATTATTATTATTTTTATTATTGTTAATAATAACATTTTTTGTTACGGTGCTTGAATAATTACTTGTTATGCTATTATTATTTGTTATATCGTTATTAGTTATATTTATTTCTTGTGGTGACGCATAAATTTTCGTATTCGAGGATGGCTTAAAGCTTGACATAACTGACACTGTTTCGCTGCTAGTTTCAACAACAACTTGCGATTTAGCTGCAATTTTCTGTTGTATTTGTCTCTGCAACAATGACGTCGATTCATATTCCGATTTACGAGAAACATCGACCTTAACAACTTGACCAATTTCAGGCTGATGATTATTATCTATTGGAGGAGGAGGTGGTTTACAATTTGGTGGTGGCAAGAATGTTAATCGTTGCATTGAAATATGTAAATTTTGTAGATCTTCTTGAGAAATGTGACCTTTTCTAGCAAGCATTCCACTAGTCCATGTAGAACTGCCACTTAAAGTTAATGCAAGATCTGGTGAACTATGGAAAGTTCTTTTGAGATCCGAATCAACGCTTGGAATTTCAACTGGACGGCCTCGTAATGTTCCACCAACTTTTGTCTTTTTCCTCTTCATTTCTGCAATACTAGCATAAACTAATGGCTGCTTTTTAGATGGAGATGTATATGGCGGAGTTAATGAGCTTTCACAATTCGATTGGAAACGTGATGTTGTCATCATAGATGAATGTAACTTATTCTTTGCGTCAATTCCTTGTTGTCGTTGAAATAAATCTTCTAATTCAGCTGCTGTAATCCTACTGGATGTTGGACGCGACTTAATACTAGCTGTTCTTGGTTGAATTGGCGTTCCTGGCTGCAATGGTGTTGAAATAGCTGATTGAGTTTGTTGATGTAATGATTCTGTCGAACTTGCTTTCATAGAAATTCCACATTCATCATGATCCTCATTTGCTTCTAATCCAGCGACCATAGATCGTGCACGAGCTCTTCCAACACTTAATGTTGTTTTTGGATCACGTCTTGGAACAGCGGGAGGAACTGGCATTTTATTTGATCCACTAAAACGACGAGGAAGTGTGGAACACTGTCGTCCATTCATCATTGACAAGTTTGTATTAGAAAAGCTATTTTCATCGACTGTTAATACTGTCATTGTGACATATTCACTTGAATTCCTGATCAATTCCACTACATATTCATGAGATGTACATGACACATCTTCTCCATTAATCTAGAAAGTATAATATAAAAATGTAAGTAATCTTCACAATAATGGCAAGAATTAAAAACTCACGGCAAGTAAGAAATCTCCCTTCTTTAATCCAGCAACATCTGCAACACCACCTTTATCAACATCATCGAGATATTGCAATGCTGGACATCTTGTCGACGGTTTTAATTGCATTAAAGGCGATGCTGCTTTTGCACCACGCAAAACAAATCCAAATCCTCGTTTGGCACGATGAAGAAGCTGAAATTAATGAATAATTGATTAATGATCAGTTTTATTCTGTTTGCAGCATTAATGCTTTAATATTGAAAAATTGTAAATTAATTGAAACTTACCACTGTCCTCGGTTTCGACATTGTGAAGCTGTAAATGAGAATTATTAATTTTAGTGGCTTAGCTCAGTCATTGAGATTGAACTTTAATCCAAAGATAAATTCTGTTGATTTAAAATAAATCCATTGGATTCATAATATATCCCAGGATTAAAATATAAATCCAGCTTATTTAAGAAGAAGAACTATTTAGAATTGAAATTTCACTCACTTTTTATTGACCTGAGAAGTCAGTGTGTTGTTATATGATGCGTCAGGTTCCGTAATTTCTTCACAATGCTCAATATTCAAAGAATTACCAACGAGTGGCTGAATATTCTCTTTTAACAAATGAGTGTTATTGTTGTGAATTCCGTTGTTGTTATTTTTCTGACGAAATTGGACTTCTTGAGTACAGCGCGATGGGAAAAATCCCGTAATTGATGATCCGCGTATAAATCCCTCCAATAATCCACAATCTGTTGATCCAACAACTTCAATTATATCACCTGCCTGAATTGACAAATGACCAGCTATTTGAGGCTCATATTTTTCAATACAAACGACTGTTGTGCTTGGATGTCCGATTGAACAATTAGCAGATTCTGAATTCGTTCCGACGCCTGATGAATCACTGACCACGTCACTTGTATCGCCGAGGCTTTTGTCTTTAAAATAAATAGGTGATTTGATAAAAAAAATGTTTAATTTCAATTACTTAATTCCAATATAAATACATTCACAAATGAAAGCTTTTTTTTTTACTTCCGATAAATTATTGTGAGAGAACCAAGTGCGACCTGCGGTATACCATAAAGCCTCAAACATCAATAATATTGTATTGATTTCATCGTTAGTGCTAATGAAATTGTTAAAGGTTGATTCATTATGACTGGATTCTCTCTTTCTACTGAAACTTTGTTTTTATGGGTAGGTATAGAACAATTAGCACTAATCAAAGATAACAAACACAATATCAAAAAACAAAGTTTGAGATAATTAAAATTACTGTATCAGTATAAAAAAAGAGCTTTCATTTCCCATACACTGGAATGCTTTGATTCACATATTCATATTTTGTCAAAGTGAGGAAGGAACGTATAACACGTAAAACAAATTTTTTTATTTTATTTATAAATTGGGAAAACAGATATATGAATGATTATTTACGAATAAAATAAAAATAAGTCTATTGCTTTAACGAGTAACTTAATTCATGCAAACATGCACTAAGAAAGTATGTATCTGAATATGTATGTCCAAAAAAAACTAGATTTCTGGGTGGTACATTTTCCAAAAAGTAATAAATAACGGCCTCTTGAAATTCAAATATTAACGGTTTCTAAATATTTGAACTTGGAAAGTTCAAAAATTCAGAATCTTAAAACCCGTTTTTGAAACTTGAGCTAAGTTCAAAAATTCAAATTCTTAAAAACTGTTAAAATTCAAATTTAAAAAAGCTGTTAATTTCTTATAAAAAGTATTTTTTTTGGAAAATGTGCCGATAATATTGAACAGAAAACTAAAGAAAGGCTGCTCAAAAGAACTTTCCAAAACAGAAATAACAATGAGTTTAAAATTTATTATTTTCGTGACGTAATTTTTTTCCGTCGAACTTTACTTTGTACATGTTTCAAGATATTCATCACACTTTGATGAGCAAATAGTGTCATATGATTATTACCTGTTACGAAACTAATATCATCTTCCTGACTTCGATGACTCGATGATGATTCCGATAAACTTGAACTTGCCGAATTAAATGGACGATCTGATGGACAGGGCGATGACGGTGATGTAATGTGTATTAAACGTGAGAATGTATGATAATGAGAATTGTTCCACGAATCGCCGACAATTGATGACGTAGGAGATATATATTCGGAACCACTATTGTGACTACTTTGATTTAATAATGTATACCAACATCCTAGACCGGATCGTCTTCGTGGATTATAACGAGGCGGAACACGTATAGGCACTTTAAGGGAAAATTATTTTTAATTGATGATTCTAAGCTTAAAAGTTTTATTCAGTTACAAAATTAGTTGCTTCTTCCACCAAAAAACACACAAAATTTATTCTTTCGCGCTCAATAATAAATTATGAACAGACGCGACACTATAACAATAAAAATGGAGCAATATCATATCTGATGGTTAAGTACACTTAAAAATATTTATGATTCGCGTTTGTATTTTTTTCCAACTTCGTACTTTTCTCTGTTCTTTATCAAAGCAGCATTCCTTTTTTAATTGTGATAATGTTTATTGTTTTATAATTTTTTTTCGTCAATGAACCCACATTCTTTACTCCGATTACCCTTCTTCTTGCTCGATACGGGAATTGTTATCACGTGAACTTGATTTAATGACTTATGTGCGGAGATTTTGACTTTTAAGTAATTATCACATAGTTTCGGTCGATAGACTTTGTAGCTTTTCGTACTAACAACTATAATTAATTAAATCAAGGTTGGTCAACTTTTGAGATTTTTTTTGGATTGGTGTGAATTGAGAATTTATGACAGAGCTTTTTCAAAAGCTTGAATTTCACATACGTTTAAGAACTTTATTGATACAGAATATATCCGGTTCTTTTGCAATTTTGTTGATGACTTTCCACTAATTTGTGAATTAAGTACAGGAAGTTTTTATTTGCTAGAAAATTATTTACTGCTTAAATTTGCACAAATCTATAATCAAAGAACAATTCAAAGGAAACCGCTATTTTATCGAATGCTACATAGACTGTAGGCAATCAAATAAAGCGTTTATACTTGCAATTTCATTCTGTATTCAGAATCAACAATAAAATTAATGATCAATTGTAAAGATAATTGAGTTGCAATTTATGAGCCTCACTTACAATGCACGAGAACATTTTTCAAATGCTAACGAAATATATCAATTTTTGGGATGCTCAAAAACATATAAATATTTAAATTTGGCACTGTTTTAATAGTTTAAAGCATGAAGATCAATATAAACTCGATTAAATTAGAAGAAAGACTTTGATTAATCATCTGAGCATTAATCACAAACAAACAAAAGAATTAGCAAGTGCCTCAGCCTTGTAAGCTTCATAGAAACTTAAATTCAGTAATGCGCAATAAGGATTATTCCAAATTACCTTCAAGACAATTTGATTTGACCTTGACAATGAGCATAAATGCTTGCAGAAAAGTTTTATGGTGTGGCATTTAAAATTTTAAAAGGCGCCCAACTTTTTATGATATCAGCAGTGAAATTGCATACGTCAGTGCATCGATTTATATTCTGTAAATTATGAACTTTACTGCTGATACCTCCAACGAGTTTTAACATCTGAAGTGGCAGTAATATAAAAGTGTTACTTCCTTGCCACTCCTAAATGAGCAATTTGTGTTTGTTTATCGATATATTATGAAATTTTCAATAGAACTTGATGATAACCCTATCAAACAGGCGCCTTCAAGGCCTAATTATTAAGTGGCTTTAAATGTTTAATTAAAAAATTTTAATCTCTACTTTTTTGTTCCCGTATCTCCGAAAAGCTTCTTCAAAAGTCACAGACAAAAAAAAATCTCTTCAAAGCTGACGTACTTTAATTTAATTCCTATAAGATATAAAAAGAATGGGCTACAACAAAAGGAATGTATGCATGTCTCTTAAGTGAGCAGCAGCAGATTAGAGTGATGAAAACTAATAATAATTCCTAGGATAGACAGTAAACTAATCTTTGTTTGAGTGTATAATATTAAATTATGTAACTTTATAAAGGTAATTAACAACAAAACTGAATGAACGACCTAAGAACTTGATGTTTGTAACAAAAAAGCATACAATGAAATAAATTTTAACAAGAACTTTAAAAAGCTTCATCAATGATGAAAAAAATTTTTACAGACGTAGTCACTCGCGACTAAAGGGAAGAGCATTTTCCAGGCATAGAATGCAGTTTAATCAATTAAAAAATTCAAACTTAATAACGGCTAAAAAAACGTTTAAAAAATAACAGTCAAAATATATTTAAAAATTTGAATTTTACAAACCCGTTATTTCATTGTAGAAATTCAAATTTTACAAAACCGTTAATTTTTATAAATTTAATTTTTTAAAAATATTTTAACATAAATCACGAACATGCCCTCAGGAAAATGCTCTGAAAACGTTCAACTTTTATCATGAATCAAGCTTAAAGAATCATTTAAAGTTTATCATTCCAGCCAAAGAAAAATACACAAGACAATGAAGTCGTGTCAAAGATAAGAATAAGATGTTTTCATAGTTAATTAACAGAATGAGAAGAAAATAACTAAAACATTTATCTGAAACGTAGTTGCTTACTGCTATAATTAAACTCACCAATATCATCATTCTTATAGTTTCGTATTAATTCCGCTAATTCAAAATTACTCGCAATAACAGCGACCTGCAAGAAGACACAGAAGAAGAAAAAATTTTAAATATTTGTATTTACTCAACTTATATATTAAATATGAATGTGTTTTTACTTGATAAGGTGTCTGGTTTGCAAAATTTAAAGCTTCACGATTAGCACCGCGAAAAAGTAACATTCTTGCACACGCTTCTTGATTATTAACAGCGCAGACATGCAGTGGTGTGTTGCCTGTCGAGTTCTTGCTGTTCATATCAGCTCCATAGACCAATAAATGCTCCAAATGATGCACCAAGCCATTTCGACAAGCCTAATAAGGTCATAAAATGCAACAATTACAATTTAAATGATTAAAAAAGGCAATAACAAATTTACCTGATGAACTTCATTCCATCCTTGCGTGTCTTGTGTACCCAAAGTCGCGTGATCGTGAAGTAAAACTTCTGTTATTTTCGGATCTGTCTTTTTTAACACCGACAAGTAAGCTGGCGTCAGCATTTTAGCGTCGCGATAATTTGGAGATGCTCCAAGTTCAAGCAAAGTCATAACTGATTCGAGTGTATCACGCTCGACTGCTTTATGCAATGCTGTTGTTCCATCTCGTGATCTATAATCCAAAATAGCTCCACCGTTCACTAAAGCAATTAAAAGTTTTTGAGGTTTCTTCATGCTTGTGGCAATCGACAATGGAGTTTCACCAGAGTCTGAGCAATGAAAGTTAGGATCGAGTCCTTTCGAGCACATCTTTGAGATCTTCTCGACATGACCACCGTTGACGTATTCCAAAAATCTTCTCAAATTCGAACGTGAATGTAAAGCTCTTAGTTGCCGTTCATCGACATTTAATAATTTGTAGACGCGACGTTTGTATTTTAACTGCAGATTTATTTTTAATTTGATTGAGTTATTGATTGCTATAAATTTGAGAATAATTACCTCCAAGTAGCCGACAGGTCCATTAAATGGATAATCGCCCAAACGTCGCTCTTCATCCAAAAATTTCCCAGCTTTTCCATTTGCTGGCGGTAAAAAAAGTCCATAATTGAATGATTCTTTCAATTCCTAAAGAGACACAAAAATGTTATTATTCAGTATCCAAAATGTATTCAGAAGACTTCTCGAGCATGAGACATTGCCTGCATATTGATCAATTTGATATGGATATAAAAACATAATCAATATGTCGTGAAAATACGTCAGAATTGAAGGAAAGCTTTTTACAGCAAATATTTGCATAAAAGCATTTCATTAAATTCACCTTGACTGCTTTACTGGATGTATCATTGAATAGAAAATAAATAATTTATCATACTTTATCATTTTTATTTTGCTGTCAGAGCTTATTTTTATTTTGCTCTAATCAAATAATAGTTAAGTTGACGAACAAACAATGAAGAAAAATTCAGTAAACTTAATTAAAGTAAAGCAGAAAGTTCAGAAATCGGTCCTAAAATCTTTGAAAAATCGAACTTTCAAGTTCAAAAATTGAACTTTACAATTCAAAAAATTAGAATCGATATTTTTGAAAAGCCGTTCAAAATCACAACGATCTCAAGAATGAAACAGAGAAGCTTACTTTTAGAAATTTGATAAACTTGGCCACAGGAATAAAAATAGACAGAATATCTACCAAAATAATTCTTCAACAACATTAAAAAACGTTAATCCATCCAGCAAGCAATCAACTACACCCAAGAATGTCATTCCAAAAAATAATCAAGATTAGCATGTAAAATCACGTCCAAAAAAAGTTTGAGTAAGGTCAGAAAATTTAAGTATGAAAAAAATAATTATTGGATAAACACAGAAGAGCTTAACGGTCAATTTCCTGTCTGCAGACAATTTACTTTAATGTAAAAATAATCAAATTAGACATGGCCAAAATAATGCGCTTAAACTATCGGTCATAGACTACATTTGAGTATTTTTCTATAAAAATTTCTTCTATTAAAAATGTAATTGTATAGTTTCAAGTTAGTAAAGTAATAACGGTTCTTCACATGTACTTCACATATTTCACACATTTCTTCACATACATCTTTGTGCTGCACGAATGAAGAAAAGCTATATTTATAATCGAATCGCATGAAATTATGTGTAATAAAATAAGGAATGTCACTTGAAATGGTCTAAAGAATTCGTTCTTAAATAAGATATTTGGAGCTTTAATTAAATAAATAATTTTTGTTTGAAAATAACCGACACAAATAATTTGAAAATCATGCTTTTTGGTCGAAGTTCAAAATTTGAACTTTAAGAATCAAGAACAATTTAAATCCAAAAAAACCGTTAAAATTCTTAATGTTGCAAACACTTTTTAAAGTGCTACCGGATTTACGAACGACCCTAATAAATCACACAAAGGAACTTACTTTTGGCAAGGATGCTAAGACTTGTTGTTTGATGTCCCATATTAGTTTGTCTACGGGAAATTGAAGGCACTTAAAAATATCAAGTTCTGGTACGTGTATCCGAACTAGTATCCATCCTTCTCGTGCAATTTCAGCGGGAGGTATATCGTCATCAAATTGACTACTCATTTCTTCCACTTATTTTATATAAAACAACTTTTTTTCTCTCTTCCAAATTTGACTTAATGATGTTTTAATCGTTGACTTATTTTAATACATTTTTGTATATTCAGAACCAGATTTTTCCATATACACAATTCCGTCGTATAACTTCTTTTTACATATTTAATCTATCCTTTTTTTTCTGTATTGCAACTCGATATTGTGTCCAAATCTATAAAGCAAATAAATTACGGAAACATTTACTTTTGTGTACTAGTGAATTAATGTCCATTTTTGAATGTTTGTCATTAGCTTTGCAAAGTGCTAATTTGTAAATTTTTAAATCACGACTTTTCTTTATCATTAAGCAAATTTCTAAGGTATTAGCGACTAGAGAGACGCTGCAGCAGTCATATTAGAAATTATTTTAATTAAATTATGTGTGTATAGGTGAATTTTTAATAATAGAACTAAAATACTGCTTTTTGAACATATAAACTCGCTTAAGTAGGATTTCCTCATTATTCACATTATTATGTTGACAATTCTGATGCACATATGCTCGTGCCTGCCAGCCTGCTCAAAAAATTGAATGTTTTTTAGTGCTCCCCCAAGCTAAATTCGTGCCAATCAAGAGGACAAGTCAAAAATGTGTGTGGGACATAAAATTGCTAATTAATAGCTTATAATTGACGAATAAATATTTTTTTTAAGAATAAAATATGTTGTCTTATTGACGTAAAGTCAAGTTAGTGTTTTTAAGAATTTCCAATAAAGTCCGCAGGCAATAGAGCTATAAATAGCTCAATAATATGTACAGTACATACAGAAGAGAGCGAAAAAATGTGTCAATTGCAATTAACAGTAATGAAAGGAAAATGATTTCTTGGCCGATACATAGAATCTCATGTAACACATATTCAATAAGTAGCTGACCTGATATATATAAATTTATGAGTTATTATCTATACACTATACACACAGACGTGCTGCAGAAACAAAAAAGAACTAACATTAATCCATATTTCTTTTCTATTGCTTTTGGATCAATAATCAGAGGAACTATTATACTCTGTTGTTAGCCAAAAAAAAATTATCAGTCTCTATTGTCACAATACACTGCAATACACAGCACCCAGACATTACACAAATTGAATTTATGCTCTATTAAAATTAATTAAATTATCACAATTTGCTGCAAATTTTTCACAGATTTATTTTTTTTTCTTCTCCATCGTTTAAATGCACAAGATTATATGTATATTTTTTTTCCATAAGCATTATCACTCGCTCAAGAGAGAAATATGTAAGTAAGTAACTGTGTCAAAATATCGATTTTTTCATATTTTTCTTCTCTTTTCACAAAAACTCATTAAACTATTTTCTATTTAGATCAAATCTATTTGTTTATGATAAGTATAAATTGAGGAAATTCTTTAATTCACTTTAATATCTTTTAATGATACAAATTTGCATTTTTCCAATATTTAAAGATCCAGAATAACATCCTAAAGAATGTTTACTGATATCAAAATGTCTTTTTCACTAGAAAAACTCGTCTGCTGTTATTTACTCGAATAAATTATTGATTCACAACTTACACTTAATTAAATTCACTTGATTTCTGCCCTTAAACACTTTATTTTGTCATTTTTCAATTTTTCTAAACCTTTATTAAAATTCCATAATTTTCTTTACTTCAAGTTATTCGCATCACTAGCTTTTTCTGCTTCAATTTCAATCTTATCCGCACCGCTCAAGTCACTTGCTAATGTCTGTGCTTTTTGCTTGTCTATACTTAGTCTATATGTTCTGATTTATTATTTATAATGTTTTTTCATCACTTTTGATGACAATTCTCGTGTCAAAAAAACGTTGGTTCAAAAATTTAAAGATTACGAAGATTACGCAAAGTTCAAAAAAATTTAAATTATTTTATTCAAATTATCCGTTAAAAATACATTGACACGTGATTAAAAGTGAAACTGCTGCTTCTTCTTTCTAATCCACAACAATGAATGAGAATATCCACTTGAAACAATGGCTTATCTATAGACTCGTAATGAACATATTTTCACCACATAAGTAAGCAATTTACTGCAAATTTCAATGTGAAGGGAAAATAGACAGTTGTAAGTGAATATTTTAAGTGAAAGAACCTCATAAATTTCCATAATTCACACGAGCAGCTATTCATAAATAATTAAGATATGAAAAAGTTAATTGGATGTTAATAATTCACGTTAAGATTTTTTAAAAACATATGTAGCTTTTCATTGGAAGTATGGGAAACTTTGGAACCACTCATTTGTGTACGGTTTTAGTCTAACATAAATAACTGCTGATCATTTGATGACACATTCTGGTACCTGTTTAACATAGTTTATTTAATTAAATTTTAATAAACCAACAACTCATCATTTAAGAGAATTAAAAGAGTACAAAGTTGTGTTCTACGCTACACTGTAAACAATAATAATTGCTAGCAATTGTATTCGAGGAACAACTTTATTGGTTTATGGGCAATTCTACGAAAAGGTTTCATGAAAATAATCCGTGTCAATTGCATGAATTTTTAACTATTTTATTTTCACTTGTGCATAGTTTTTCAAAAAACCTAATTCTCATTTCCTTTTCTATTGGTTAAACTGTGAATTATGATTACATCTGCACTCAAATTCCTTAGCTATGGCTTGAGAAATTCATGGTTTTAATTTTAATATTTGGTAGTTTTTTTTGGAATTGTCTTCAAATTACTCTGTTTCACTTATGAAATTTTTCGTTGAATCCAAATTGCAGCTTAATTAAGGCTTCAACAAATATGATTTTGACATCGTTTTGAAGCTTTTACTTTAAGCTATAACTTTGTATACTTAGTATTACTGGAAATTTTACAACCTTAAAGATATTAATTAAAACATTTTGGAAATTCGGGCGAAAAAATTCATGTGAAACAGAGTAATTTTTCGTAGAATGTAAATAATTCTTTAATTAACCATTCTTAATATGTTTGGGTGAGAACAATATGTAGATCTCGGTAAAATCTACTATTAAATACATGAAACATGGAAAGTAATGCAACTGATAAAGAGAAATATAGATTTGGAGAGAAATATAGATTTGGAGACAAATTTGTAGAAAAAATCATTCGTAGAATCGCCCTTATTTATTGCTTACTCATTATACAAATAAATCATAGTCGAAAAAATTAATTTGCAGCATAATTATGGATGATTCTAACGATTTGGGTAAGTTAATCACATAAAAGTTTGAGTTCCTTCATCATACCTACTGTATCTTGTCGTTTTAGTTCTTTTAGAGCGTGTTATGCTGAAATTTGGTCTTTGTGATACAGATGATCAATTCGAAGTTCAAGTAAATAAGTTTTTATCGCCAGTTTTATTGAAAATCGAGAGTAAGAATGAACAAGTCAGGAAGAAAGTCATGGAAATTCTAACACACGTCAACAAAAGACTTAAATCCAGACCGAATGTTAAAGTCGACTTAACTTCTTTGTTAAAAAATTATGAGGAATCATCAAATTCGTTCCTGACTAATTTTGCCATCATTTACATCATTATTGGATTTCCAAGATTGACAATTGAGGAGCAGATTAAGCTATTTCCTTTACTTTTGAAATGCATTGAAAATAAGCCAGAACCACATCAGAATAAATTGTTGATGCTTTTGTTACCTCTGCTTGGACTTTCTGAAATCGAAAAGATGACTGAAGAGCAGTTTAATCAACAGAAAGAGGCACTCAAAGATCGTTCAAATGCAAAAGAGATGTTATTAAGTGTGTTAATAGACATATTACTTCTACCTTATGGACACACCAATCAAGATGCTCCTCCACCTGGATTTTCACTAAATTCATTGAAGAGAATTACGTTAAAGGAAGACACTGCTGATTATCTTGAGAATGTAAGTGACTGGGTTTTTAAAGTAATCTTCTTAAACATGTCTGACTTGCTCCTAATTTTGTTTTATAGCTGAAGAAAGGAATTGTCAGCTATCTTAGTAAGGATATATTTGAGGAAAAGGAAATATTCCCTCATATGATCGTAGCTAGTTCTGACTCGAGATTCTCGGTCGTCAATGAAGGTGTAAATGAGTCTAATAAGATCAGCGTGTAAGTATTTCATAATTTTTAACATTTAAATTTTGAGTTTTTACTTCTGGATTAAGTTGGAACAGTAAATACTAGTATTGCAATATCACTGATCATGTTCTGTACTTTCAATTCATGAAATATTTGTTTGTTTATCTGATTTCAGGACAATCGACTTTGATGATCCAAACAACTGCATCCAACTCTATAATCTGTTTACTGGAAAGGACTCAAAAATTAAGGAAAGAAAAGTGTCAGCATGCAGTCCAAGATTAAAGCTGAAGATTCTTAACTTTTTAATGAAATGTCGCGGACCAGCATTGATTGTTCCAAAAGGAATTCAAGTCATCTTTGAAGGACTGTTTGGAGAGACGACAAATCAAAAAGTTAAAGTTGCTGTTTTACAATTCGCTGCTAATTTAATACAGTTTGGTAATGGCTCAGTTATTGAGAAACTATCGGAAGTCCTTCATACTTACATAACCAAATTAATTGGACTTGAATCACCTGAACCATCAGCTGTTCAAAATAGCGCCTTAATGGCAATCGCAAAATTATTTCAAATATTTCCAAAGCATTTTAATAAGAATGTCAACTTAATTGTGAATTATTTTGACTTTCTAAAAGGATCAACATCTGACTTACATGATTCAATTAAAGAATGCTTATTGGCACTAGCTCAAGCTTTCAAATGGACAGCCAATAAAGTTTCAGATGATGAGAAAATGGACGTTGATGGAGAACAAAAAGTTGATCCAAAGGATTTAGTTCCTGAATTTGTTCCAACATCAAATCACATCATTATTTTAGGAATTTTAAGAGACCAATGTGAGTCAAAGAACCTTACATCGTTAAATGTCACCAGCTTCTTCTTAAACACATGTTTTCCACAGTATTTCGTACCTGCAAGATATATGCTCGTCTGGATTAGTGGAATATGTATGCAATTAAAGGAAGGAGTTTATACATTTTTGTATGGTACACAACGAAAGGATCATATAACTTATCAGGAATTGATATCATGTGATACAATTATTAAAGATGGAGTCACTGACATTGACCAAAAAATCATTTTACCATCATTTGAAGGCATGATTGCTCATATTGATGAAGAATTTGAAAGAAAGGCATCAAAGAGTAAGGATAAATTAAGCAGTATTGACTTGGATGTTTTCACAGAAGTCCTAGATTATGCTCGGATCTGTTTATGGTATTCAGCAGGCTGCAATTGTGAACCAGGAACTGACAATTCAAAACTTGTTCAATATCTAATCAATCTTAAGAATAAGGACTGTATTGTAAAGTATGTGAAGCTTATAAGAAGCATATTAATCATAAGAAAGAGTTTAACGGAATTGGACTGTTTATTAGATCTTTATGATTCGACACCATGGATTGTCTGCTCTAATGAGATTAAAATATCAGATACATTAAAGATTCTTGCTAATTCCTTAAAAGACGTAAATGAAGGAATTCGTACAAAATCAGCTAAAATTTATGGAATTCATCTAGCATATGATTCGACTAATGATGTCTTTAACACCGAAATTACTCAGCTGTTAAATCTTTCTCAGAAGTCTTTAGAGCAACAACATGGATGTTTATTAGCTCTATCGAATGCCTGCTTCTATCGCATAATTTACTACATCCAAAATAATAAGAATGAAGAATGGACAAAGTTCGTAAAATCTCGTGAATACACGGAACTGATTAATTTATTAGTTAAATTATTAAATGATCAAAAATCTCTGCTACAGTTAGCATCACTAAAAGGCTTATCGTTACTCGGTTGCTTCGCATTACCGTTCGAGGATGTAAAAGAAGAAAATGCGGAAAATTACACGCATTCAAAGATTTATGTGTTGAACACGGTCGGGCAACTTTTGAAAAGTTCTCACTCGAAGCAAAAAGTACGGGAAGAAGCAGCTATATGTCTCGGTTATTTGTCAATTGGTGACAGCATTTTCTTCTCAAAACGAGTCATAAATCATTTTCTTGATATGAAAAGGATGACAAAGGATGCAGCACTACACATATCAATAGCACGAGCATTAGGTTTTATATTCTCGGGAGATGAGCACTTACCGAAAGAAATTTTGAATAATATGAAAAATGATGACGAACTCCTTGAATGGACATTAAAGGAATTAATGAAAATTGTTGTAGAAGTAAATGTGTGTTCACGTCAAGCTGTTAGTCTATGGCTCCTCGCTGTTGTCAAGTCATGCTCCAAACGTAAGCCAATTCTTGATAAGAAAAGATCACTTCAAATGGCTTTTACACATTTACTGTCTGAAAATAATGAATTAGTTCAACAAGTGGCATCAAAAGGTCTCGGTATCATCTACAGTATCTGTAGTGAGGATGACAAACGGGACATGTCTAAATTGTTAATTGAAAACTTAACAGATGGAAATAAAGGAGTCAAGCAAAAAGTGTCAGAAGATACAGTTCTATTTGAGGAAGGCATGCTGTCAAAAACACCAGACGGACAGAATTTGTCAACTTATAAGGATCTCTGTAATATGGCATCGGAGATGAATAAACCAGAAATGATTTATAGCTTTATGGAACTCGCTAATCACAATGCGAATTGGAATACAAAGCTCGGTGCTGCATTTTCACTTCAAGCTATTTCTATTGAGCATGCTAAAGAGAATATGCAGCCATTTATATCTAAAATTGTACCTAAATTGTTTAGATATAAATATGATCCAACACCAAAGATCCAGAACTCGATGATACAAATTTGGGATTCAATTGTTAAGGATAACAATCAGACACTTGATTCATATTATTGGGATATTTTAGATGATTTGACTAAGAACCTTACACATCCGGAATGGCGAACAAGAATCGCATCAACTCTTGCACTTAGGGATCTTATTAAAAGACCCAATGGATTAAGATTAAAGTCATTAGAGTCAAAAATAATAGTAGACATAACTTCATCAAGTGATGTCATCTATGAAACAGAATTGAAATTTTTGTGGGCACAGCTTTATAGAGTTATGGATGATTTCCATGAAGGAACAAGAGAAGCGGCTGAAGGAACAGCAAAAATGTTATCTAGGATTTGTGTAACTGCTGTTTCTTGTGATCATGGCGAGAAGAGAAGCTTCTTAATTACAAATGCAGTTTTGCCAATTTTATTGGAAGGAATTGTACATGTTGTACAGGAAATTCGGTTCCTAAGTCTCAAGACAATCTCAGAAATGATTGATTCTACTGGAAGTTTAATTCAGCCACATTTGCCAATTTTAATCCCATGTTTATTAAGAGCAACTGGAGAACTTGATAATACAAAATTAAGTATGCTGTCTAACATGGTCAGTGGACAAGGAGGCTCACAAGAAATTGTAGATTCAATGAGAGCTGAGGAAGCTAAGAATCACTTTACAATGAATACACTAAAAAAATGTATCAAGTACATCGATATATCAACAATGGAAAAAGCAAATCAATCAGTTCTAGAACTGATTAAAAATGGTGTAAATTTGGGTACAAAAGTTGCATGTGCTGATTTTGTCTACTTGATTAGTCTTCATTTGAATAAGGATTTCCAACCATATGCTGCCAAATATTTGAGTGCATGTGTTGCGGCTTTGTCTGATAGAAATCCAATTGTAAGGAAGCATTATGCAACAGCAATTGGGGATTTAGTGACAGTTGCTAAAGACTCGACTGTCATTTCATTATTCAAGAAGCTCACAACAATATATTTTGAGGATCAAGAAGGCAAATCCCGAACAATTGCGTTGACCTTGCAAGCAATAAATAAGAAGCATGCGGATTTACTAAATTCAAATGCCAGTTCCATTTTGCCGTTAATGTTTTTCGCAAAGCATGAAGCAGTAAATGAAGAAAATAAGTCAACGGTTGAAATGTGGCAAGATTTATGGAATGATGTGAACTTCGGTGACTCCTTACTACAGAATCACTTTAATGACATACTTGGACTCCTTGAGACGTCAATAAATCATCAAAGTTGGAAACTTAAAGCTCAATCAGGATCGACAGCCGAGGCATTGGCAAAAAGGCTTTCAGACAACTTAAGGAATGAGGAACGAACTCGATTGATTGAATTGATAATGGAAAATATTAGTGGACGTACATTTAATGGAAAGGAGCAACTTATTGAGGCATTGGCTGCATTATGTGATAAATCCTGTAATAATGAATTAATTGACCGAATTATACAAGCTGTCCTAAGAGAATGTCGTAAGGATGAAGAAAGTTATAAGACAAAAGTTTTGGGCTGTTTAGGGACGATTCTTGAAAAGTTAGAGACTGAAAATCGTTTTGAGGATGTCTTCAATATTGTTTGGTCGTTGCTGGATAAACCAATTACGTCAAATCGAGAACAAGACACGTCAAATGAAGAGCGTGGTAAGGAAAAAGACCGAGTAATTGCATTAAAAGAGGCAGCATGTGATGTGCTTGGAAAGTCATGGCCATCAACCAAATCGTCTAATTCAATTGACACACAGAAAAAGTATCAACTTTTATTAATATCTAAACTTGCTGAAAGTTTTAAGTCAAATACTCGCACGATTCAAATGAAGCTGTTGGTTGCACTTGGAATGTTTTTAGAGAAGTCGTATTTGTTGAATGAGGTAGCTGCAGGTACAGATGCTGAGGATTTGAGAGTTATTTGTAAACTGGTGATGGAAAATATCGCAGAAGCTTCAGGTGAGCATCAATTTTAGAGATAAAATTATAAAGTCCAAATTTTGAACTTCCGTTACATTTCAAATTCAGAATTTTCGCTATTTAATACAATTTATTTATTTAATCATCTTGTTTACATATTTTCTGAACAGGCTTATCGCACGTCGGACTGAAAAAAGAATGCCTACAAATCTACATCATCCTACTCAAGAAATTAAAAGCAATAAACAAGGGCAACGACGTAGACTTTATAACAGGAGAATTTGAAAAGATTGCTGATAATTTCCAACGAGATAATTCTCCGGAAATAAAGCTTCGTCTTCAAGATATCAAAGGAATCTTAAAATAATCTACTGTAATCCTCTTATTCGTCTGAAGTCTTATCATTTTATTATATCGTTGGAAATGAATTTTGTAATAAATCCTATAAGCCTAATTTGTTTGTATATTGAGCAGTTTTTGGATTCACTGAGTTGGATTGGAAGTGACATGTGAACTATTTTCAATATTCAGATCTCAATCTCAATTTTTTATTTTTAAATCTGCAGGATCATAAATTCGGATTTAATTTAATCTGGTGAATTAAAAATTAATCCATAGGAATTAAAACTTCAATAAGGCTCTTCGAGACAAAATCGTTTAAATTAATTCTAGTTTAATTGTCAAAATAAATTAAAACAATTATTATAATATTTTCATGAGACTTTTAAGGATTTTATGTGGATAATTAAGGATTCAGGGTTAATTATCAACCCTCATTATGATTAAAAATTCAAAAAATGATACAATAAACAGCTATATATTGTTTGATACCTAAATAACAGTCTCTTGTTTACTTACTATTGCTGTATAAAAGGAAATAAACATCACATTAGCACATTAGACATCGGATACCTGGAAATCATCTAAATACCAAGCCCATACGCAGAAGTAATATATATTTTTAGAAATAGTAAGCACATCGCATGCAATAAATATGAAGTATTAAAAATTAATTATTTATAAGGAACTTTGATGCAAATTTAAATTGTTGACTTTACATCCATTTCCAATAATAAATTGACGATTGGTCATGCCATGAAATATTTACAAAGTCATCTCTGCTCTTTAAAGTCGTCCAATTACTGGGAATGGGGCAAAAAAAAACATTTTCATGCTCTGCAAGCCAACCATTTTCCACAAAATATAAAAGAAGAGAACATTGCGATACACAAGAATTTATTGGAATTTTTGCGCATGTTCCACGAGTGGAAAGAGTAGCAAGGAGCATAACACGAAAAAAAATTTTCCTCAATGTAAAAATATACACTTTTGGTTGAGGAATTATAATTTTTTGCAGCTTAAACTTAATAAAATTAAATCGTAATAGCGGGAGTGTAGCCATAAATCATAAGCATAAAATATATATCAATTAAATTCATTAAGTGTAGTTCAGTTAAAGTCAAGACTCTTAATTAATATTCTCAAACATGACGAAACATTTCCTTTTGTGGTTGCTGATTACGTTCACTACCTTCATTTTAATTCAATCAAAGAAAGCTCCAGTTAAGTTCGATGGTGATTTCGAATTTGTCGACGAGGTAAGCTATCTTTATTTTGTGCATGTGGGTTTAATACTGGCAAAATTCCGTCAATTCATTTAAACATTTTATTTTCATCCTCGTTCCTCATTTGAATTGCAAATTTGAGGATTATGTATCATTCTATTTTAATAGCAATAATCCAAGTACTTTTAATTTTAATCCTATTACGCTGAGAGATTTTATGATGAGGACCAAGGATTCTCAATCACAGAATTTATGCAGTTATGATATGAATTCAATCATTAAAGTTCATTCAGTCGTAAATTTTTGAACCCTTACCAAAATATATATATATTTTTTTTTATAAAAAAAAGTGTTGGTGCTATTGATTGAAGGATATATGCGCATTTTTGTATAGCAACTATTAGCATTTAATTGGGAAATTATAGCGTAACTTAAAATATAGCAAATCAAGAAGAGGATTTTTGTGAATTAATTTAACAGTCTTTATACATTCAAATTTATCGACATTTTTAAAATTCAAAATTTCAACGAATAAATTAAAGTTTAAAAATTTGAATTTTAAACAACGAATAAAGTTTAAATTGTGTTAAACCGTTAAATTTAAAAAAAAAATAAGCATGCAATTTGACCTAGTCAGCATGCAAAAGCACATGATCAGGGTTGTTAAAACATATTATATTTTACAGAATATGTAACATATCCAACACATTTTGCATGTTAACGTGTACAATGTGTGGCAGAATTCATATGTTGGCAGATAATATATGTCACACATTGCATATGTGCACATATTTTATGTGTGACACATTATTTTGTGTCACATATGAAAATGTGTGATGTGTGACACATATTTATGTGTGTAGATATCATGTGTAAACATGCAAAATCTGCACATATTTATTAATTTGCGGGATTAAAGTGGTATTTTTTTGTAGAATTTATTTAAAAAATTATTGATATGTAACCAAAACAGTCAAATACTGCATAAAAGAGTTAATTTTGTCGAAAATAAGTTCATTAAACTGTAATTTTAAACTAATTTGACTTTATTTTCGGAAAACTTGACTTAAAATTGATTTACAAGTGATTAAGGGACAAGAGTTTTACTATTAAAGATTTGATCATAACTGAAGCTCATCATTCTTAGTTTAATCTTCATTTCTCCAACATGAACTTATTTTCGACAAAATTAACTCTTTTATGCAGTATTTGACTGTTTTGGTTATATATCAATAATTTTTAAATAAATTCTACAAAAAAAATACCACTTTAGTCCCGCAAATTAATAAATATGTCCAGATTTTGGATGTTTACACATGATATCTACACACATAAATATGTGTCACACATCACACATTTTCATATGTGACACAAAATAATGTGTCACACATCACATATTTTCATATGTGACACAAAATAATGTGTCACACATCACACATAAAATATGTGCTCATATGCAATGTGTGACATATATTATCTGCCAACATATGAATTCTGCCACACATTGTACACGTGAACATATTTTTAAAAAAGGCCAGATTCTATTTTTAACCACCCTGCACATGCTTATGCTGCATTTTTGCTCATAAATTGACTTTAAAAAATTCTCGTATTTTCATATTTTAGGACGATAAAAAGAACTATGTGAAATTTTCGTTATCAGAAAAAAAGAAGTGGATTCACGACCCGTCAAGTACGTGTTTTTTTTTCCTTCTCCTTTATATATTTATTTTTATTTACATGTAGTATCGATTGCTTAAAATTATTTCATTGGCTGTTATTCTTGTCAAAATCTTGATATTTGAGACATTTTAATTTCATGTTCTTTTCATGATTTACGATATCCTTACTCAATTCAAATTTCATTAGCTAATCGAATCTACATGACTTGAAGCTGTTTTTGTTTTCTATTATCACAAAAAGCAATTTGATATTTTATTTCCCTCTTAATTTCTATAAAGATGATCTCTGTAAGCCATTAAATTGTAAGAAAAAGGAACTGTGCTTACTCGAGGATGCTTACACGGCTGTTTGTGTTTCCAAAAAGGAGCTGCATAGAAACAGGTAAGTTGAGCTAATTGATTAGAGCGCATTTATTCCTGTCATTTTTTTTTTAAAAACCAGTACGAAAATATTTGAAATCATTATGAAAAACTGTTGCAATGTTTGAATATTTGAACTTTATGGTACGACAATTCAAAAATAATTCAAACAGTCAAAATCTAAGAAAAAATTTTGTGAGACCAATTAGAGTCAGGCTGTAATGTCACAAGAACAAAATGACGCAGCATAAAATTAGCAGGAAAGTGCGCTCATTTCTAATCCAACGATAATCATTTCTGACATACCATTTGCTAAATTTATGTACTTTAAGGGATGAACTTTTGGTAAAATATAAGTTATTCGAGGAAGAAGCAAAACGAAAGGCTGAAACAGTTGAGAGTAATGAGAAGAATAAATCATCATTTACTTCACCCGATTACACCACCGATATTTCACGTGAAGACGATGCTTCCAGCGATTTCGATGAGTCAAAAAAGTAATAATGTTGATTCTCATTAAATTGAATTTAAATTCCGATTTCGAAAAGGTCATAAAAGAATTGATGGCAAATGAGGGATTTGAATAATAATAATTTTATGTAAAATGCTAATTTATCACATTCAATTTCTACTTTTAAATATAGTAAATGCAAGCCATGTTCAACCGTAAAGACGTCATTCTTATGTGGATCTGACAACAAAACCTACTCGTCAATGTGCCGATTAAATTATTATAACTGCATACAGGGATTCGAAGTTTACAAAATTTGCTCAGGATTTTGTCCTTGCAAAGGTCAGTAGTTGCTTAATTTTAAGATCATGCTGATTTACAGCAGCTTTCGAATGTTCAAAATGTTTGAGAACCTCACAACGGTTTTGATCTGTTGAATAGCTTTAAAATTTTTAAACAATCAAAAACCGTTAAAAATCACACTGAAAACCATACAAATCATTTATCAATTGCTGTTGTGTGGTTTTCAAACACTTTATTACAAGTTTCAAATTAAAAACGTTATAATTCAAATTGAAAACCGTACAACAGTCATCAATAGTCAAAACTGTTGTACGGCTTTCCAACATTTCAAAAATTCAAAAACCCGTTAAAAATCCTTAATAATTCAAGCCATTTAATTCCAGACGAACAACGTCGCAATAAGCAGAAGGGCGAGCGCAAAAATGGATCGAACGGAAAGAACAAAAAGTCGAAGGAGGGAAAAAAGGTAAATAATTATTATAAATGAGTTTCTCCTTGAAATAATATGTACAATCCATTTACTTGCTGAATTTATTCTCTTTTTACTTTGCTTGCTTGCCACTTTAGGAGGATGAAAATCAATACTCAAAAATTAATTATGCTTATCAACTCACACCCGAGGATTTAAAATATGATAACAAGCATTACGAGTTTATTAAATTTACTCCAGACAACAAGAAATTGGTGAGCATAAAGAAGTAGTAATAAGCACCCATAACTTTAATTTAATTAAATCTTATTCGTAGCGTGAAAAGCAAGCCAACATTAAAGTCAATATCAAGGATAAGAATTATTATGATGGACGTACAATTGTGTCAAGCAGCAGTAAGTCCAGTCTTAATCAATTAATATCTATAAATCACATGCTTTAATTATCCACCAATATAGAAAATTCCGACAAAAAAAGCGAATGCAGTCAGGATCAATTAGTTGCCATTGGCAATAGACTACTTGATTGGTTCTCAGTAATTATGTTCGATTCCAAAAAGAAGCCATTGTATCACAAAAGTGTGAAAGGTAAATCACATCATTTAATTAAATGTCCAAAGCTTAATCGAGCTTAATCATGGATATCATTCGCAGAAGTTCTTTCCACGCCTTGTAAGACAGAAGTGAGATTAATGTTCCATCATTTAGATGCTAATTCCGATGGAATTTTATCTGAGCAAGAACTGTATCAGATAGAGCATGATAAGGTAGGTTTTAAATGAAAAAATGGGGTGTAATTCATAAATGACGTCTATTAGCATTTCCCTCTGTACTAAAGAGTTCATGGAGAATCTCAAATCACAGCCAAATTGATAAAAATCATTTATAAACGACCCCGACAAAACATGAAATTGGAAAATTGGAAACCGAAATGATGCGAATGGCGACATTAAGTCTGTCTATGCTGAAAATGGGAAATCGATGACAATGCCTATAAACTATAAAATTTTCCAATTTCAAACTTAATTAACATAAATTCTTACTCTATTTTCCACACACAAACAGAACGAGGAATGTATCAAGCCATTCTTGGACACATGTGACTGGGACAAAAATAACATGTTTGACATACGTGAATGGTGCAGTTGCTTTGAAAAGACCGATCGTCCTTGTATCGCTGTCCGACGTCGAATTGAGAGCAACGAAGACAACAACTCACAATATACACCAAATTGTGACGACCAAGGTTTTTACAGACCAATACAGTGTCACAACATCCTACAAGTATGCTGGTGTGTTGATAAGCATGGCGTTGAATTCGCCAACACACGAAGTAAAAATAAGAAGCCTGATTGTGGTGAGTAATGAATTATTAATAGATGTTGGAAGTTCATTCAGGCTATTAAGGCTTTTAATTTTGAATGAGTTTTTTTCTGTGGAATTTATGGGGGCCGTTCACTTATTACGTTCGCATTTTAGGGGGGAGGGTTGAAAAATTGTAACAAAATGTAACATGGGGGGGGGGGGGGGGGTCAAGAAGTGTATAACGTTCTAATTGTCGTCTGTCTTTTAAAAAAAGTTCACGAAAAAATTTGTTTACAAATTCACACCAAAAACATTTTTTTTAAAATTTTCCACCTTTTTAATGTTAAAATAAATTATGAACGTTCAAGGGGGGGCGGGGAGGGTTGTGAGTTGTAACATATTGTAACAACGGGGGGGGGGGGGGGGGGTGAAAAAAGTCGTTTTTTGCGTAACGTAATAAGTGAACGGCCCCATACTTATTTTTTTGGATTTGATTTCAATCTTCTGGATTTATTTTTGATCGTGATGGATTTAATTTTAATCTGTTCAGCTAAATTAATCCGTTGCAAAACCGCTGAATTCATTTTTAAATTTTGAACTTCCGTTATTTTCTGTAAGAATTGAATTCAAATTTTGAACTTCTATTATTATTTGAAGGTTTGGAATTTGAATTGGAACTTCCGTTATCTTGTTAATATTCTCAATAATTTTATTTTTAAATCGACTTTCTTGACATTTTAATTTAATTCAATATCCCAGATGAAGTCTTGAAGAATGCATCAACCTTAATATCGGACTATACAGACGATGACGAAGATGATGACGATTTGCGAGAAGAGAACAAAGATGAGAGCAGCGGTGATAAATTATTAATGTTTTAAGTTTGTAGACCATCACTGTGAAGCTTTCTCTTTTTGTTTAAAATTAGATACATTTTGATTGCCATAGAATGCAATAATTTGATGAGTGATTATGTCAATTTAGGTTCTCGAGTATTTTTGATTTGGATGCATAAGATGCATTCCTTAAATGATGAATTTGCCTACGATATTAATATTAAATATAGTGTTAATGAGAATTAGCAATTTGATCAAGATATATTTGAACAAAAAAAAAAGTATGTTAAATAAGTAGATATTGACAAGACATTTTCTCGGATCATTAAACTTTCTTTTTGTATATTTCCTACGCAAAAAAAAATCACCAAAATTTCCTCACACACATTCGCATATAAGCTGACGGAACTAAATTCCTAATAAGTAACTAGATTGTCGTCATACGGCAACAACTTTAATTTCCTCCTTTTGCACAACACACGATCGTTGCTTGAAGTACTCTGGTATTTAATATTCTTTATAATAGTGAGGCTATCATTATAGGACATACATACTTAAAAAGAAAGAAATAAATGTTTTGTACACTTTCTGTGCTTTTGTGGGACGGAAAGTTTATGTTCATTGTGATTTTTCATAACTTTTTTATGTTGACTATTTTCTTGATTTCCTGATTTTAATCGAGAAGGAAAAATGAAACTTTTTTCTACATAAAATTAATTTAAAAATGAATAAATAAACCTAAATGTAAGATCTGAAATTGTAATTCAATTTTTTTCTCAAGAATGCAGACATAAGATGAATAAAAAAAAACTAGAAAATTTTTAATTGAACCTCTTTCTTGTTTGTTTAATTAATTTCATTAAATTGAATGATTTTCTTTGCTGTTTATTTTTTTATGCCATGTGAATAACTCCTTTTAAAAGTATTCACAACTTCAAAAGAACCCAAAATAAATTTACTCGTTAAAGCTCTTTCAAGCCTTACAACCACAAACAACACAAATAATACGAAGGCAAACTTTAGAAACAAGTTTCTAATCGAATGACAATAAACATTGTATGTTAAGTGACCGTTGTTGGACATGATAGCTACAACAAAAACATCGTCAGGGTAGGTTAAGGAAAAAAAAAGTTAAGATCAATATAACATTAGCTGGCATGATATTTAAGATTTCTGTATATATGAAAATTACTATGGCAACGGATATGCACAAACATACCAAAAGTAGGAAAGAATAGCTTTTAATTTTACAAGTGCGTAGACTAATTTAGACGTAACATGAGTGATTGGGTTTTCGACAGTTTAATTTGCTTCTTACACTCACCTGTTTGGAATGCAGCATTAAACACATTCATTGAGGAGAAATCTTTAGGTATTAAACTTCCTTTCTTGTCTATTAATCTTTAAAAATTTAAACACTTTTATTCCTCAATAGTTTTTGATCCAAACATAGAAATTGACATCTCAGATCCACAATACCTTGAAATTCACAATGAGTACAAGAATTTGGTTGATTACATGCTTGGAAGCTTTATGGAAGAGCTGAACATCACACCAGAGGAATTTGAATTAGCATGCATTGAAGGAAAGAATCTCTTGACCAAAAATGATCCATCAAATGACAATGGCTCATTCTCATTCCACAAAGGTCTATTTCAGCAAATCTGGGCAGCAAATGACATGAGGACCTTTGTCAAGTTAATGGTTCAGCGGAACATTGAAATACAGCTGCAAGCACTCGACTTGATTGAACGACAAAGAAATTCTCAAGATGTTGATGACATTGAGACGCAAGAGAGGGAAGAAATAGCTGAAATTGAGGAATCTGTTAAAGTCGAAGTTAATCATCAGGAACAAGAAAAGCAAGAAGACGAAAGTTTAAATCGATTAAATTTATTTTTCGAAAAGGAAAAAGTAGACAAAGAAGACCTAAATATGCGGCAAGCCTATTTACGTCAGCAACGTGATAAAATTTTGCAACTAAAAAAGCAGGTAAGAGCACGTCAATTAGATGACACAACCATGAAGGAACGGCCGAAATCAGCTAAAGCTGCACAGAAAATTATTCGTGGAGAAAATATTGAACCGGATGAAGCGTCAATCCAACTAAGAAAGATTTTAGCTAAGAAATTGCGTGACGAGGTTGTTGACAGCTCACAAAATTAAGCATGGGAGGACATATGGAACTTTTTTTCTACAATTTTAAATGTTTTCTGTGTAGTGGCACATTTCAAATTGCTTGAATGAATTTGTTGATGACTTTCTACTGATTTGTGAATAAAGTACAGGATGTTCTTACTTGCTAATTTCACCCATGACAAGCAACAAACAAGAATAAATTAAATAAAATGCTAAGTTTTTTTTTGTGACAATTTGAAAATTTAAAATTCAATTAATTTGTTCTTTTTCCGATTTATTTTAAATTTATTACATCATGAATCTATTTTCTTACTTTTTTATTTTACAGTTCATTCTTTACCCAACACCTCTGAACAAATCCATTACGGCCAATTTAAATTTGTTCTAAAAATAAGGACCATTAATACTTCCTTATATTAGCAGTCGCTATTTTTAAAACAAATTTCTTTACATATCCTTTTAAAATTCTTGACTTTCAATATTTAATACTTTACTTTATGCTTTTAAAATGATGTCTCATCTTTTTAAACTATTTTAAACAATTTAAAAGTTTTTCAGTTTTGCACTTAAATGTGAAGAAAAAAAATCTAAACTTAACGTATCAAACAGTATCAAAATTACTTGAAATTTCTGAATTTTTGCGCCAAATAGTGGTCTGTTCAGGGATGTAAGAAATTTTTTTCATTAATAATTAATCATGAATTAAATACTATGCTAATCGAGCTTTCTTTTGCGCAGGAGAATTATCTACATTATCTTCATCGTCAGAATCTTCCGTTGTTTCGTAGTCAACGAGTGACTGAAGGAGAGAATTAATTATGTTTGATTAGTAAAGGATTAAATCCATCGGATTAAAATCACGTGCTTACCTTCTTAACACCCAAAGTTTTAAGCGGCTCGGATTCTTTACTAGTCATCGTCGTGTCTTTAACGATTACATTATCACTACTCGATGGTGATTCATTAACGTACGTCTTATTATCATCATCCGGACCCATTGATGATTCTGAGTCATCATTAAGAACGTCCTGAAACGTAGTCGTTCCAGACGTAGTTGTAGTGGTTGTTGAGGACGTTGTCGTGCTGGTTTTTCTGTTACTGTTAGTTCCATCTTCAGTGTTTTCTGAAATTTCGTATAACACATCCGGTGAACATTCCTTTTTCTCATCTTTCGACGATGTAACTGTCTCGGTTGATTTTCGATTATTATTATTGACATTATTGTTATTATGAATTGAATTAACAATTGTATGCTGTTGTGTGGTTGGTTGGTTAGCTTTTGTTGGTCCATTGACGTTCTCTGATTTTTTATCCATTATTTTACCTATTTTGCATGACAATCACATAGAAAATTAATAAACTGCTTTTTACTCAAATCAAATCTACGCTAAGTTGTGCTCCTTACTTATATTATTTTCCAGATCTGAGGTGGGTACGTCTTCAAAGTCATCTTCTTCATTAAACCACATTTCTTCTTCTTCGGGAGGTTGTCTTGGGTCGCGTCTATAACGTGAATTTCTCAAATTTGACAGCATTCTAATAAATAATAGATTAAGTATAAAAATCAGTAACGAGATAGATCGTCAATATTATGATGAAATAGCTTACGAATCAAAACCCTTATCCTTATCTTTAAGTCTATCTTGATGTTGATCATATTTGTTTCGAAGATTCTTGAATGTCTGCACATATTGGATCTCATCGAAGATTTTACCAAAATTCTCTACGACATATGTGCATAAAATCTTTACATCCTCAAGTTTTATAAACTCAAACAGTTCCAGTATTGCCGACTCAAGTAAGTTGTATCGTCCATTGTTTCTGATGAACGCTTCCACAACTGGTGCAAACAAATTCCCCTTCATTATGTATCTATAAAAAAATGATTATTGCAATTCAGGCATTAGTTTCGTCACGTAATGAGCAGCAAGAATGTTGTCATACATACCGATTATAAAAGTCATCTTTCATGGAAATGATTTTCCTTAGGAAACGTAACGCGCACAAAACAAGAAAGGTGTGCGTTGATCTCATAAGCACGAGGATTCTTCTTAGTAAATCTTTACTAATAATACAATTCTTTATATGATAGCTGTGATGCTCAACACAAAATGAGAGAAGCTCCAGAACTAGCCCCAATAATTGAACTGTGTGATAATCTTCGTTTGCGGGTTTATCGTCGACTGTGTTTTTAAGAAGTGGTGCTGTAAGAGAAAATATTTTTTCTACGACATTAATTAAGCGGCTCTTAAAAATTTATAATTTAACGGTTTTGTAAGATTCAAATTAATTCTGCCAATTTTGTGGGATTCAAAAATATATTTAACGGAAATGCCAACAAAATAAATAAAGCAAATTAAAAGCAACCTTGAGTCATTCATTCAATTTTGCGAGAGACATGAGGAAGCATAAAAACAAATGGCAGAAGTAAAAAATAAAAATAATAAGAAGAAAGAGTTGTAAGCTTACCAATTAAAATGTGAATGGAATTTTTGTAGAAGAAATTAAGAAAATCTGTTTTCTCAGACTTGTTGGCACTAGCCAGCATCGTCTCAGGATCCAAAAGTATTCTGATGACTCCCATTAATTGAACTGCGCCACCGAGTTCTGGTTCTGAATCGTTGAGCATTTGTTCTATGGCAATATTTAGCAAACATTGATCTTCGTGTTCCTGGTTGTTGTATTGAGACAATGTATAATCTCGTATTAAGGATGGTGAATATTCAACGATAGTCGTTAAGATGTCAATTGATGCGGATTTGATTTTTGGATCGTTAATGTTCAAAATGATCTCCAATGCTGGCAAAATACCCAAACTTATTAAGCTTTTATAAAATGCTTCCTTAGCGTGCGGCTGTAACAATTGAGCATAACTACAAAATTCCTTTAGAAACAGAACCGAATCACGACGTTTATCCAATGCTGTATTTGGATCGCTCAACAGAGCAAAAAGATCATCCAAATATTTGTCATCTTCTTGAATGAGAGTCACAATTTCGCATTTATTGAAGAATATAAAACTTGACAGGGAGTTCAGCATCGCATCCTCGAATACTGACGGAGCCGGTAATATAATATCTTGAATGTATTGAACACGATATGTCTGATGAATTTTAGCTAATAGTTCTTGATTCTTAATTTCAATTGGCTCCCTAAATTTGGAATATTGTTTCAGATAGTTCCGGTGACGTTTTGGCGGTCCTCCAGTCGGATCATATTCCAAACAGCCAACAACATCAAAGATGGTATCGTCAGCAAACATAATTTCAAACAATTGTGTGCGATTAAGGAGGAAAATATTCTTGAAAATTTCAAACAGATAATGTAGACCTTCTTGATTATCTAAATCCTCACAAATGTGAAATAAATTCAGCAGCTTCTTTATGTAGCTCTCTTGTTCTAATGCAATCGATAACTTCTCCTTTCTCATTTGTGTATTGAGACATTGTGAAATCAATTCACTGATCTCTTCCAAACGAGAAATTTCACATGCAGGAAGTTCAATTGGTGGTGCAGAATCTGGCATATCTTCATACCGTTCATCCTCAGATTCCTCGACTATATCCTGTGTCGTATCAACTGACGGATCTTTTCCCTGCACCTGACATATTTTCTCCCAAATTTCATCACATCCTGCTTTCTCTTGAAAACTTAGTGCCAAGTCGAAATTATCTCCCTCGCTCCACACAATCAACGTATCTTGTTGCTTCTGATAAGCCGTGTCGGGCTGTATTTTGCTCTCCAATAACAGTGATCCATCATTTTCTGCACGTACAAGCAATGAGATTCCTATTTATTTACGAAACGGAGTAAGAGAGAAAAGAAGAAAAATATTGATTAGTAAAGAGATTATTATTATTATTATTTCCGTGGATATAGCTATGACTACCTTTTAATCGTTCCACATAGCTTGAAGTAACGTGTCCTGTTCCGCGATCATCCCATTGACGGTCAGCATTTAGAGCATATAGTTTAACCCTTCGTCTGGTACTTGTGTCTTGTGTTGTCATATTCTGTATTTTACGCTTCCTAATGATTTTTTTAATGACAATTTTTGCTACTTTTAAAATCTTAAAAATGTAGATGGATGTGTGTAAATGAATTTCTCCGATAAATAGCTTCAATTTCTCTCTCTCCCTTTCTCTCTATTACTTATTTGTTTGTTGTTTGTTATTATTTTTAATATTACTCGCTCAAAAAATATAATTATGTTGTATTTCCATATCACCTTTTAATCAAACTGCAGCGCTTTGAAGAAAATCTGGACAAGAAAAGAGCCAAAGTTAATTAAAGTAGGTAAATAAGGCTTGATTCTCAAAAACTTTCATATTTTTTTTTGTATCATAATAAAAGAGGCATGTTTAGCTCGAAAATATCGATTTTATGCATTTAATTCGTATTGTATTTAAAATCCAGCAAGGAATAGTATAATTAATAACATCGCAATGATTTCAAAATTGTTGTAATTCATGAAAAATTCCATTTTAAAAATATCTATTTATCCTCCAAAATGTCTTTAAAGTTGTATAGTCTGTACTACGGCTGTATAGACACAAAATAGTACGAGCGAAAATGATGGAGAAACACAAAATGCAAGATGTCTAATAATTTTCCATTGCACGAAATTCTCACTTACAGTACACATAAAATATCATATTTTTCAAACATAAACAGTGATTTTTATGTTAAATTTACATTATTTGTGCTTTTTGCATGTGATTTAAATGATCGGATAACATCCAATCTTTATGGAATAGACAAAAAGTTATGAAAATTTGCCGAACCAATTTTTTTGTATATAAAATATGCAAATCAAAACAAAATCGCCTTATAATGTTCTATAATTAATTTTAATGCATTTCATACACTTTTATAATCACTTTTCTCTAAAATCCTGCTTTAATTTCCCGTGTTTTGACATTAATTTCACTAAAATTTAATTTTTCTTTTCCAAAGCGTCACGAAATATTTTAGTAGATCGCAAAGTATTTTTTCAGTCGTTCAAATTTCAAAAAAACGTTAATATTAACTTGTAAAACAGTAAAGATTAGTATTCAATTTCAGTCATTACAGGTTGAATTGACTTGAAAACTGAGTCCTATTGTGCTTCATTGAGGCTAATCATCTAGCTTTTTAATTAATCTATGTTGAAAATTTGCAAAAATGGACAAAATTTAAAGTTTCATAATTTTAGCTATTAAATGATGTATAAGACACTGTTCGTCATGATATTTCCCGTATATTCTATGTATTCGTGCTTACCTTTACCTTAAACTTAGTTATTATTATCCAAATAACGTAATTTTTTGTTAAAAACAACTTAATCTAGATTCTTATCTTCGTTTTTCAAACTGTATCTCCTAAATGCATTTTTACGCCAAATATGATTCATTCAACAATCCCAACATTATCTAAGATTGCACGGTTCTGGACAAGATCTGAATAAGCAGTATAGCTTTATCCTAACATGCAGTTACCAAAAAGATCCAGAGATGATCAGATCCAATCAAAAATCAACATCCAGTGAACGACAATACACTCAAAAACTTACTAATATCTTTTCGTTTATTAAACATTTAATATCATAAACAGCATATAAACAATAAATCAGTGACTTAAGATAACTTATTTAATCCAAGAAGGTTAATCTTCAAACTGTCATAAAAATTAACGTTCGAAAAAAATTCAAATCTGTACGCATTCAAATACATTACAGAATAAATACAATAATCTACTCTAATCAAACGAATTACCTGATTGAAATATTGTTTTTTGCGCTACTAGTCTCATTAGCAATGTTTCCTAAGTTATATCAACCCGTTAATTTATTGTTTTTAAATTATTTGTGTGGTACATTTTTGACAGTTCCAAACGTCATATTCGGTGCACGACTTTAAGTTTTTATCGCAAACAATATTTTGGAATTAAAAAGTACATTAATTGCAGTATCTTGGCATAATATAAAGCTAAAAGCAGCATTAATCGTTGATAGACTTATACAAATCACATAGTTATTGTCCAAAAGTATTCGGAAATTGCTGTATTTTTCAAAGTGAAATGGGTGACAAAATTGAGAAGCTCTATCAAATTTATGATCTTTTAAATGAAGCATCAGACAAATCAAAGGTAAGTTATGCTTAAATTCACTATTATTTATATTCTCCATCAAGTTTTCAATGGTTTGGTGACATAAAAAGGGATTTTCCAATCGAAACCTATAACCTCTAATCATTTATCTCGTAAATTCGATTGCCGCTTGCATTTTTCATACCCATAGCATAGACATCTTTGTCTATAGATGTTTTCTCTCGATAAAATCACATGGAATAAAAACAGCTTTGGTCGATTTTCTAGAAAAATTCTAATGTAGAACAAATTTTCGTGAAAACAACATAAGCTGAATCTAATCAGAATTATGCTATGCTAGATGTCCTTTATAAGGACCATTTTTCATGTGAATCCTTGCATGTATATTTTTTCCCTTACAAATCGTACTTTTGAAAATATTAACTTATTGTTATGTTCTCTATTTAAATCTACAGCATGAGTGCGAATATCTGGAAATATTGGAAGCAGCAAGAGGATCTGACAAGGAGAAGAAGCTGGCCACTCAATTTATTGGAAAATTCTTTAAATTTTTCCCAAGTCTGAGTGAAACTGCTATTGATCGTCAATTAGATCTATGTGAAGAAGATGATGTTTTGGTAAGCATAAAGCGTCCATAATCGTTTGGGATGAAAATTAATATTGATTGCTTTGTATAGATAAGACGAATGGCAATTAAGGAACTGCCAACATTTTGCAAAGATGCTAAGGAAAATACACCAAGAATCAGTGACATTCTCGCACAATTACTCAATTCATCAGATCCAAATGAACTTCAACAAGTCAACTTATCACTACAATTGCTTGCTAAGGTATGTCCACAAAATAATACTAACTTAACACTTTTAATGACATCCAAAAACCTCTTGCAGTTTGATGCTATCGGAACGATTTCTGGACTTTTTCATCAGATTAAGCAAGGAGACGAGAATGTAAGATTGAGATGCTTAGAATTTGTTGGCAATAAGATTATGAAAAACACTGAAATTATGACAAAGCCAATAGAAGAATTTATTATTGCTGAGATTAAGAAACTCTTACAAGACGTTTCAGCTGACGAATTTCAAAAGTGTATCCAAATATTGAGTGCTACAAATTTGGGTACATCCATTACAGGTCATCAAGAGATTGTAAAATTGTGTGCCGAGCAGGCTGATATTGATACAAACGTTTCTGACATTTCGGACGATATTTACATCTTCTTGACATGCGTAAATCAAGCTTTGCCATTCTTTTCATCTAAAATTGAGTCAACTACATTTGTTAAGCACACTTGTGAGAAGCTCCTTCCTCTAGATTTCTGGCATTTAATTGGGGCTGCTGATGACGATCAGACACAAATTCAATTAAGGCTTTTAAAAGTATTTGCTGAACTGTGTGCTCATTGTGGATCACTTGAGAATCCAAAAGAGAAAATTGAGACAGTCTTTAATGTTTTAATGGAATTCCTACCACCACCTCCAGAAGACATGAATGAAACTCCATTGATCTTATTCTCACATGTTGAATGCTTACTTTATGCTATTCATGCTTTAGGGAAACAGAGTCCTGAGTATTTATCGTTTAAAGATGATGAACCTAAGTTGAAGGATTTCCGAGCTCGTTTGCAGTACTTAGCACGCAGAACTCAAGGGTAAATTTGCTCACATATATTATTTGACTGATTCTAATGGATGTTAATTTTCATAGATATGTAAAGAAGCTTCAGACGGACATTAAGGAAGAGACTGTTGACCCAAAAACTGATGAAGAGAAAATCAAAATTATTGGCTTGAAAACAACATCAAATATCCAGACACTCATTCGTGACCTCTATCATCCAAGTTATAAGTCTGTCATTAATCTAAGCTGGACAAATGAGAAGGCAAAAACACCTACAAACAGCATTACAGCACCAGCAGCAACAAAAACGAATGAGCAGTCAAATAATACAAACAACAGAAAGCGACCAATTGCATTCACGAAAAAAGACGGTCCATCAAATCATAAGCAGGCCAAGCAAATGTATTCACCACCTTCAGGCAAGTTCTCATCACGCATCGGTACACAATCGTCACAAAATAACAATAAGTTTAATAACTTTAGAGGTAAGTTTAGAGGAAGACGCAATGACAAACCTTATAATAATAATAAAAACAGACAATATTAAGTCATTTTTGCGTTACATTTTAAGGAGATCTTTAATACAAATTTTTAATGATTAGGTAAAACTTTTCAAGTAAGAAGTTTTTTTTTGTAAAAATTAACTATTGCTGTTCTTTAATAATCTACACAAATCCTTTTAATCATAGTAAATTGTGTTCATTTTGACTCTTTTCTAGTTGCCTCTCCTTAAATTTTTTATATTTTGTTAATATTTTTATTTTATGGATATACTCTTTTTGTATGTCTAAAACAAGGTATCTAGATGTGATCATACTTAAGCATAGGAAGCACTATATTTAATGTCTAGATCTTTGTATGAACTTACAAAGTATTCGTCTAAAATTGAAATTTAATATTTTTCACATAACTAAGCATGAATGCAATTTAATATTAGTTCAGGCATTTAGATAGTCCATCTATCCACTGGATTCAATGATTCTGTACTAAAAACTCAATTCACCAAAATTAAAACTCAAAAGAATTCTTTCAATGTGATAGTGCAGACCATAAAATTCAAATTTTAACCGTCATTTTTGTATGAACGCACCTAGATACCTTCAATATGTTCCAAAATAATTGAAATAACATTGCAAAAAAAAATCAATAAATTCTTAAATTCATATAAATCTTATAGGATATCCATCCTAAATTTTTTTTTACATTTTCCTTACTTTAACTTTTTATATCTATTAAGCCGCATAGCGTGTTCATGCCTCACGATTATCGGTTGTTTTGAATTCTTTTCATTTAAGCAATTATCGATTTGAAAAATTACTGATTAAAGAAATACGATTCTCGATAAAGATTAAAAAGCACATGCAATGTATAGATTTTCGTGTAATTTTTCATTCACTCATAATTTGTAATTTATATGATAAATTTACGTAGAAATATGGAAAATAAAAAATTAAGAATTAATTTCACTCAAATTCAGAGTTTTTGTGATTGATACTTTTTGTTATTAGAAATTTGTCACTTGTTCTTTTTCGAATCATATGAACTGGAAATGGGGCTTACAGCCTTCCTTTGTAGGCTACAGGCAGAAATGTCAGCAAAGGAGTGGTTCGGATCGCACTATAAATTGTAAGTCTAGGTTTGAGTGCAGTGGTTTGGCTCATCCTCACTCGTTAAAACTCTCATTAGCTGCGAAACGCCCTAGCGCACCTCTGGATCACAATTGTCAAGGTGATTGACAAGGTTTTTTTTCCATATAAAAACAAAAGTTTTTCTGGCGGAAACGCATTTGCAACAAAAAAATTTTTTTGCAGTTGATTTGCTGGAGGTTTGCAGTTGATCAAAAGTTTTATTTTCGCTGGTGATTTGCAGGAGGTTTGCACTTGATCTAGTGCTTAAAACAAATACAAAAAAACATCCTAAAAATTTTTTGAGCAAAGAACTAAGTAAGAAATACATTTTCAATTTTGGACTAGGGGCGACCCTAGTCAAAATCAATTTTGTCACTTTTTTCTTCGAGGGTTTATACAAATGGAATGAAACTTTGCAAAAATATTTAAATGCTTAAAACAAATACAAAAAAACATCTTAAATTTTTTTTGAGCAAAGAACCAAGTAGAAAATACATTTTCAATTTTGGACTAGAGGCGACCCTAGTCAAAATCAATTTTGACACTTTTTTCTTCGAGGGTTTATACAAATGGATTAAAAATTTGCATAAATATTTAAGTGCTTAAAACAAATACAAAAAAAAACATCTTAAAATTTTTTTGAGCAAAGAACCAAGTAGGAAATACATTTTCAATTTTGGATTTGGGGCGACCCTATTCAAAATCAATTTTGTCACTTTTTTCTTCGAGGGTTTATACAAATGGAATGAAACTTTGCATAAATATTTAAGTGCTTAAAACAAATACAAAAAAACATCTAAAAAGTTTCTTGAGCAAAGAACCAAGTAGGAAATACATTTTCAATTTTGGATTTGGGCCGACCCTAGTCAAAATCAATTTTCTCACTTTTTTCTTCGAGGGTTTATACAAATGGATTGAAAATTTGCATAAATATTTAAATGCTTAAGACAAATACAAAAAAACATCTTAAAAGTTTTTTGAGCAAAGAACCAAGTAGGAAATACATTTTCAATTTTGGATTTGGGGCGACCCTCGTCAAAATCAATTTTGTCACTTTTTTCTTCGAGGGTTTATACAAATGGATTGAAAATTTGCATAAATATTCTAGTGCTTAAGACAAATACAAAAAAACATCTTAAAAGTTTTTTGAGCAAAGAACCAAGTAGGAAATACATTTTCAATTTTGGACTAGAGGCGACCCTAGTCAAAATCAATTTTGACACTTTTTTCTTCGAGGGTTTATACAAATGGATTGAAAATTTGCATAAATATTTAAATGCTTAAGACAAATACAAAAAAACATCTTAAAAGTTTTTTGAGCAAAGAACCAAGTAGGAAATACATTTTCAATTTTGGACTAGGGGCGACCCTAGTCAAAATCAATTTTGTCACTTTTTTCTTCGAGGGTTTATCCAAATGGATTGAAACTTTGCATAAATATTCTAGTGCTTAAAACAAATACAAAAAAAACATCTTAAAATTTTTTTGAGAAAAGAACCAAGTAGGAAATACATTTTCAATTTTGGATTTGGGGCGACCCTATTCAAAATCAATTTTGTCACTTTTTTCTTCGAGGGTTTACACAAATGGATTGAAAATTTGCATAAATATTTAAGTGCTTAAGACAAATACAAAAAAACATCTTAAAAGTTTTTTGAGCAAAGAACCAAGTAGGAAATACATTTTCAATTTTGGATTTGGGGCGACCCTCGTCAAAATCAATTTTGTCACTTTTTTCTTCGAGGGTTTATACAAATGGATTGAAACTTTGCAAAAATATTTAAATGCTTAAGACAAATACAAAAAAACATCTTAAAAGTTTTTTGAGCAAAGAACCAAGTAGGAAATACATTTTCAATTTTGGACTAGGGGCGACCCTAGTCAAAATCAATTTTCTCACTTTTTTCTTCGAGGGTTTATCCAAATGGATTGAAACTTTGCATAAATATTCTAGTGCTTAAAACAAATACAAATAAAACATCTTAAATTTTTTTTGAGCAAAGAACCAAGTAGAAAATACATTTTCAATTTTGGACTAGAGGCGACCCTAGTCAAAATCAATTTTCTCACTTTTTTCTTCGAGGGTTTATCCAAATGGATTGAAACTTTGCATAAATATTCTAGTGCTTAAAACAAATACAAATAAAACATCTTAAATTTTTTTTGAGCAAAGAACCAAGTAGGAAATACATTTTCAATTTTGGACTAGGGGCGACCCTAGTCAAAATCAATTTTCTCACTTTTTTCTTCGAGGGTTTATCCAAATGGATTGAAACTTTGCATAAATATTCTAGTGCTTAAGGCAAATACAAATAAAATATCTTAAAAGTTTTTTGAGCAAAGAACCAAGTAGAAAATACATTTTCAATTTTGGATTTGGGGCGACCCTAGTCAAAATCAATTTTGACACTTTTTTCTTCGAGGGTTTATACAAATGGAATGAAACTTTGCAAAAATATTTAAATGCTTAAAACAAATACAAAAAAACATCTTAAAATTTTTTTGAGCAAAGAACCAAGTAGGAAATACATTTTCAATTTTGGATTTGGGGCGACCCTATTCAAAATCAATTTTGTCACTTTTTTCTTCGAGGGTTTATACAAATGGAATGAAACTTTGCATAAATATTTAAGTGCTTAAAACAAATACAAAAAAACATCTTAAAAGTTTCTTGAGCAAAGAACCAAGTAGGAAATACATTTTCAATTTTGGATTTGGGCCGACCCTAGTCAAAATCAATTTTCTCACTTTTTTCTTCGAGGGTTTATATAAATGGATTGAAAATTTGCATAAATATTCAAGTGCTTAAAACAAATACAAATAAAACATCCTAAAATTTTTTTGAGCAAAGAATCAAGTAGGAAATACATTTTCAATTTTGGATTTGGGGCGACCCTAGTCAAAATCAATTTTGTCACTTTTTTCTTCGAGGGTTTATACAAATAGATTGAAACTTTGCATCAATATTCTAGTGCTTAAAACAAATACAAAAAAACATCTTAAAAGTTTTTTGAGCATAGAACCAAGTAGGAAATACATTTTCAATTTTGGATTTGGGGCGACCCTAGTCAAAATCAATTTTGTCACTTTTTTCTTCGAGGGTTTATACAAATAGATTGAAACTTTGCATCAATATTCTAGTGCTTAAAACAAATACAAAAAAACATCTTAAAAGTTTTTTGAGCATAGAACCAAGTAGGAAATACATTTTCAATTTTGGATTTGGGGCGACCCTAGTCAAAATCAATTTTGTCACTTTTTTCTTCGAGGGTTTATACAAATAGATTGAAACTTTGCATCAATATTCTAGTGCTTAAAACAAATACAAAAAAACATCTTAAAAGTTTTTTGAGCATAGAACCAAGTAGGAAATACATTTTCAATTTTGGATTTGGGGCGACCCTAGTCAAAATCAATTTTGTCACTTTTTTCTTCGAGGGTTTATCCAAATGGATTGAAACTTTGCATAAATATTCTAGTGCTTAAAAGAAATACAAAAAAACATCTCAAAAGTTTTTTAAGCAAAGAAGCAAGTAGGAAATACATTTTCAATTTTAGATTTGGGGCGACCCTAGTCAAAATCTAGTCAAAATCTTATAAGTTTTTTAAGTTTTAGGAAATACATTTTCAATTTTGGATTTGGGGCGACCCTAGTCAAAATCAATTTTGTCACTTTTTTCTTCGAGGGTTTATTCAAATAGATTGAAACTTTGCATCAATATTCTAGTGCTTAAAACAAATACAAAAAAACATCTCAAAAGTTTTTTAAGCAAAGAAGCAAGTAGGAAATACATTTTCAATTTTGGATTTGGGGCGACCCTAGTCAAAATCTAGTCAAAATCTTATAAGTTTTTTAAGTTTTAGGAAATACATTTTCAATTTTGGATTTGGGGCGACCCTAGTCAAAATCAATTTTGTCACTTTTTTCTTCGAGGGTTTATCCAAATGGATTGAAACTTTGCATCAATATTCTAGTGCTTAAAACAAATACAAAAAAACATCTTAAAAGTTTTTTGAGCAAAGAACCAAGTAGGAAATACATTTTCAAT